TAACCCCGCCTGCACTAACGGGATACGCTGGCGCAGCACTAGTGAAGGGTGATAGATGAGAATGAAAACAGGCCAGTTAGCCCATCATGATGAATTCATCAGGAGTTAACCATGATAGTTTCCAGGGGAAACCGCGAGGAGGTCGACCTGTTTGGGTATATTGCTAGCAATGGAATTCTCAGTCTCTATTACTAATAATCCCTTTCCCCCCCTAATACGGCCTTTATGGTTTACCAATATTATTCAAAGTTTTACGTTTTCCGTAACTTTCATCCATTTAATTATGTATTGTAAGTGAAATAAATGTTTATTTAGGTCAATACCGGCTTACCTTCTAGTTTAAATTCACTGACCGCGTTTTGTGTCACTCGATAATATTTGTTAGTCGTGTTAATAATTTAGCATCGACTAAATATCGCGAACCTGATCGATCTGTGACCGATTAATTTGATTCAGGTTTATTCGAGAGGGAATCCTTGAGAGAGAAGTCCTTGGCGTACGTTTCCATCCGTCTTAGTAAAACACATGGATTTTGTAAATATACATAGGCGATGCCCTATGTATGATCCTTTGTAAGTTACTATAAGCCAATTCATTTGACACCCCAACTTTATCGCCATATATTGTCCGTTACTGGTACCTCGTGAATGCAAACCAATAGTGTAGTTGATGTTATAATTCCATTTTTATGTTCTAAAAATTTTGTATTCTGTCCCCGTTTCTTTAGCTTTTTTTTTTTTAAGTAAATTAGTATTTTTTTTTTATTATATGTCATGTCATGTTCCTACCTTTCTCCCAATTATTATTTGGGGTCGGCGTAATATGTTTTTATTCATGTTACAAAAGTATTTGGCTTATAGTTTTACAACCGACCGACCGGCCGCCTGCCTGACGTCAACCCTCTTTGATTGTTTTTTATTTTACGTATTTTTTTTTAAAGTACAGTCCATGTTACTAATAATATAGCTAAACTCATTTTAGTACCTTTTGAATATCAATTTATTATCTATTATAAACAAAATATCAATACTTTCTTTGTAATATTTAAAAAAAATCCGTCGCAATGATTGTTTTGTAAGAGACAGAATATATTGCGTCTCTATATTAGGACAGATACGTTATACTTGTATGCATACAAGCAACAACACTAATTTACTATTGTTTTTCTGATAAGAATAAAAAATACTGCCCGTCGCGCGTGCTCCGATAAGTGACTTCACGGGCGCGGCCAGACCTCGGCCCGACCTCGCGTGCTAGTGGCGTTCGTACTAGTGATGTGCCGGGTCGGCTGAATCGAATACTTGTGTATTCAGTATTTCTATTAAAATTAAAATACAGGTTTCGAATATTTACTGTACTTGAATACTTTTCGCGTGTTTGTCATATGTTTTTCTGTTTTTGATTAAATATTTCATTGTTTTTTTTTTTTTCTTAAAAAAATAATTAAGATTGACTGAACATTTATTATTTTTATTAAGTATATATTACACTTGTACTGTCCCAAAGAGGGTTGACGTAAGGCAGGCGGCTGGTCGTAAAACTAAAAGCCAAATCTTTTTGTAATATGAATAAAAACATATTACGCCGACCCCAAATAATAATTGGGATAAGGGTAGGAAGAGGATGATGACACTTGTACTGTCCCGAGTTCTCAGATTCTAGTCGGCATTTTTTAACGAGTACTAAAATACTCGAATACATAAAAGGCTGACTCGGCACACCGCAAGTACGAACTTCCCTCGCTTGATTTACATATTGTCAAAACGACCCGTCCATCATACAAGTTTGAAACGAATCAATAAGTGGCGCGGATGCCGCCCCGCTGTGTATTGTTTCCAATGTGCCGCATTACTCCTACTTATCTTGAATTCTGATATTCAGGTGTGCGTAATTAAACATTGGGCTTTAACTACCCTCAAATATATAATTTTTCATGATAGTGGAGCCTAAAGTTAAATATTAGAAAGTAGGATTACCAGGTTATCGTTCCATTTGATACATGTCAAAATTAAATAAAGTCCAAGAAATGAAGGAGCCAATCCCCCGCCAATTTTCCTGTCTAAACAAAAAAGTCAAGACAAATCAGAATTAGAAGGAAGTTACTGGGCTTATTCTTTTTTTTTTTTTTCACTTTTTTTTTTTAACCAACAGTTACAGCAAATCAATCAATCGTTTTGTTCGCTTCGAAACCTCTTCCAGTTCCTCGCTCCGATTACAAGAAATATTCTTTGTGATTTACCTAAGACACATTGTTTCTTCAAGATAAGTCATAAGTAAAATTTAATCTCCATGTAGTTTCCGTTAAATATTGATAAATCATTCAAGGTTTGTCGGGACGTTTGTCTTACAAGTATTGCCTTGTCAGAAGCTATGACTGATAGAAGATTTAGCTAACTGATAGACATGTAATGTGGATCACTTATGCTATTATCACAGTATAAGTAACAGTACCTCCAACTCCACACAGTACGGCCACTCCCTGCCTCTCTCCCAAGGTGACCTCATCCCCTCTGTGACTCAAATATGACCGAAAAACGAACGCACCACGCTCGGCGCACATTGCGTGTGACAGTCTACGGACGTCATCAGTTCATATAGTAGTGACAGGTCATGGATCACGCCGCTTTTGTTGAAATTTGCCTCTATTTAAAGCTGTCATTTAATGACTTCCTAATGGCCCTACCTTGCGCAATAAAGTTCTTTAGAACATTCGTTGTTTCGTATAGAAAGAAACATTGTTTTCATCCAAAATCACAAACTCATGTTTGATGTGTAATATTTGAAAACTGCTCATTTACCGGTTCGAATTGAATGTAATGTGAAAATATATTTGCAAGTAAAGTATCTCCATTAGTTTTTGTAACATGATATTATATAGCGCTAGGCGTGGCGAGCCGAGTGTCAACGACCCGCCATTGTGAGTGAAAGCTTTCATTCCACTAGGACTGTCTGGTAGGTTAGGTATTTGCGTTTTGTAAAGAACGTCTATCCATCACAATAATATTTGGTCATGTTCCAACTGTCAGAAGTGGAAAACTGTATGCCGTTCAATCGTGACTATTTCACCATGCTGTCCAGGGTTGTGGTAGTTTACTTAGCCTGATATAGAAATAGCATAATCCGAGTGACGGCGTAAAACATGCTCCCTGCTACGTTGGATTCTAATTCGCTCGGCGAAATGAGACCGGGTCGAGTGTTACCATCGCCACGGCGTAACGGTTCCCAAATGCCTCTGATTACTCCGCTAGATATAGTCGTGATCATATATTTTTTTTTCACGTATATCTGTTTGTTACTACATTATTGGGAATAACCACCTGCAAAGCATGACAACTTCTGGCGAAACCTCCTTTATGAGGGAGACCTATGTTTAGCTGTGGACGGATGATGGCTGATGATGATGAGATATATTTTTTATTGGTCAGTATTAATTCTGTCGCCATGTGTTATGAATAGTAAGCAATGTATTTTTGCAGAGCAAAATCATATGTATAAGTAGACAGTGACTCATGCGATGCGTCACTTATGACTTCACGTAAGCAAGAATGTCACTTTCTAAGCCTGGGATCATTTTTGTTGACTGCGTACCAGATTTGTAGAAATTATAACAGCTCATTGAGCGACTTGGCGGATAAAATTCTCAATTCATCTGTTTTAAATTTTAATATTACCAACTGTTATGTAATAATACAGAGAGTAATTAATAAATAAACAATAATGTTTTAAAATTCAATTCTTTATATAGGATTTTTTTTTTTTTTTTTTAATTAAACACTTACTCTCTTATCGTAAAATGTCAAACCTCTCATAAACCCTTTTTAGCTATTGAACTGTTTTGTCTCTTTCTTTTACACTAAATTTTTAATTTGAAAGTGACAAAACAGTGTTATAGTTAAAATAGGAGTTAATCTAAAAAAGGAAAGATTTTTTTATATAATAAATAAGCTCAAAAACTACTCAACCGCTTTAAAAATCCTTTTACATATGGAAAGCTACGTTTTCAGCGAGTAACGTAGAATATATATTTTCTTGAAAATTCTAATCTATCCGTGCGAAGCCGGGCCGGAACGCTAGTATTATATAATTCTAGTGTTACAGGCGTAGTCTTTGATAATTTACCATCAGACTTACTTGATTATCACCCACACATACTCCCACTCGCATTTTGCTGTAAAGCAGCTGTGTCCACATGGCTGTGTGACGATTTGAGACAATTTGATCGTATCTGAGAAATTGCAGTGTACGGAACCGTGCTACCTTAGTCCCCAGAAAGGGCATCCCGTCAAGGCGTCAATAACGTTCTGTGATGCCCATTCATTTCATGTCCATAAACAACGATAAATTTTTGTGTTAGCTAACTTAAGTTTGGAGAAAAGTGGAATGGGCTTGTAGAAAATTGGGTTGGTTGGAAATTTGTCGCAAAACAGGGTAGTAGAAGTTATGCGTGTAGAAGGACGCTTTTTTTGTCATTTGCGTATTGCTATTTATTGCCTTAGGTGGCTTAATGTAGTGAAAACTATATCATAATACATAGTATATCAGTCAATAACTTTTTTTTTATACAACTTAGAATGTTGAACAAGCTGACGGCCCACCTGATGGAAAGTGGTAATCGTCGCCTACAAACATGAGCAGTACCGTGGACATTACAGAGTATACTGTTTCGTCCATGATACTCCTCATGCGTTGCTATTCCTGGGAAGTCAGGTGTTATTCCTCTGTACCCTGTAAATTCACAGCCATATAGGACAGAGGTGTCCAAGCAAACGACTTTTGTACAAAGTCTCCCTTTGAGGTTGTTACTCCATCTAGTGTTGGCGGTCACCATTCAAAAACCTTTCTCCCTCATCGATTATCGGTTCCTCAAACTATGTGACTATATTTGGATAAAAATAGAAAATCTCTATTTTTATTATGCATCTATTGTTATGACCAGTGTGTCGTACTTCCATTGTGTGTTGTAACGTCCAGTTGACACGGTGACGCTTGTTTGTTTGCAGGGCGCCGAGGACAAACTGAACATGATCCGCGCGTACCGCAGCCAGGTGGAGAAGGAGCTGCGCGACATCTGTTCAGACATACTCAGCGTGCTCGACAAACACTTAATCCCCAGCTCACAGACCGGCGAGTCCAAAGTATTCTATTACAAAATGAAGGTATGCCAGACATATGTATATATATACCTCTTATGTATTAACTCCGCTTGCGTAGTAAACAAATAAAAATAAATTAAACCTAGTTATAAGCATTTTGAGTTAGTAGATACTTACTATAGTGACTTATATATTTTTCTGTGATTAACAATAATTGTGCTGCTCAAATAAAAACTGACTTCAGTTGTGGCAAAATCATTTATTTTGATTTCAAAACTAAATTGCTGAACTTATTATGTTAAAATTTTTATAGAACCAATCTAAAAGTGTATACTTTCAGATAAAAAAAGAATTTTCCAAATCGGCTTATGAGTCATGAGGTAACAGACATAAAAAAAATTACCGAGTTTTGAATCTCCTTTTTGTAGTTGGTTGACAAATATACCAATTATTAAGTACGAATTACCACGCGCTTGTCAGTTTCATATCAAAGAGGTCAAATAGGCTAATACGCTTCGGACATGAGTAATTGGATTCACAATCGCCTTATGAATCTTAGCAAATAATGCCCCAAAGTAGACCAGAATATGACAAGGACAAACATATTTCGATAGCAATATTAAACAAGGAAAGCGATAAGAAAAGGAGCGCGTATATAAATGTGAAAATTGTTTTAGTATTTACTGTAATAACAAGAAATCAGGTGGTCTACCATGAAATGAAATTCCGAAATTTCGGGCTCAATTTCGTGTTTTTGTTCCCACCGAAATCGACCCCGTAAAATGGAGCTTAACATTTTGTTCATCATAAGTCCTATCCTAATAGTCCAGAGGAACGATATTTTACCATTTTTTAAAATTTTAAACGGCATATATTATATAATTTTAACATCAAATTTCTGTTTCGTTCGTCCTCGAAATTTCGGAAAATATTTCATGGTAGGCCCTCTGATCGCACCTACATTTAGCTGGCTTAGCCCAAAAATCCAAACCCAAGATAATTTAGAAAAGCTCATTTACTTAATTGACTCGACCATGATTGGGATTCCGGGAACTGGTCTACGCAGTGTGTACTACTGCGTTTTTTATTTGCTAAATGCTGACCGTGAATTTGGCATTATTGACAGAAGCTAATAGACAATACTGGGCATACCATGACTCTAAATTCAGAGTTTTGCTAGTTTTGTGCGATATTGTACACCGCTACACCCGCTAACATTGATGCTCCTTTCCACTTTGGGTGTTGCTGGAAGAGAACTCTTTTAGAATTAAGCTCACCTTTGTTGTTGTATATAATAAAGTATATATATAAATAAATAAACCCTTTCAACTCGTGTTCCAACTATCAACATTATAGTTTTAACATTTCTTTCATTATTTTAACATTATGTTCATGGTACATAGTAGGTTGTGTCCACACGTTCGTTACTTAGCACCGCGTGTGTGCTCGATCGTATATTTGCCCGTATATTGTTTGCTTGCACGTCATCTAGTGTGACAAATACGACAAACGCCCAATAATGATCACGAGTCGCCGTACGAGGTGCCACATTTAAGGACAAGTTTAGTTTGTACACGTTTGACACTGATCAGCGTTTCCTGTCTAGTTTTTTGTGATACGTCATTAAAGAATGAATGTTGCCCAGCGGCTGGCGGACTCGAGTCGAGAATTTTTAGCGTGTTTCCTGAATTCTTTAGAAACTTACATAGTTTTAATGATTACAATTGTCTTTTTAAATGTGAAATCTTGAATGTTTTGCATTCAGTTGGTCTCCTCTTGAATCTAATATCGGTTTCTATCCAATCTCATTGCCAATGACAATTTTATACTGCACTCCATGAAACATTAGTTAGAAGTTAGGTTCTAATTGGGATCGGTTTACAATAGTTTGCATTGGCAAGTTGCACTAATATGCATCTATTAGAACAGTATGGAATCATTATGTCGCTAGTTTTGCAATTCGAGTGTGAAACGTTTCAATTCCCAATATCGATCCATTAGAACCTATTTCAAGATTAACCCTCTTATAAGGTTGTTAATCTAAAAACAAATTATTATTTTGACCATCGAGATATATTTTATGTATTTCTAAGAATAAAACTTTAATATTTTTAAAAAGATTTCAATATCCAAATCAGATTTCAGCTGAAGCTCGATATGCATTTATTCGTATAATAATATAAAGAAGTGTACAATGTCGTTTGTTTCGTTTTCAGGGTGACTACCACCGATATCTGGCGGAGTTTGCAACCGGCAACGACCGTAAGGAGGCGGCCGAGAACTCCCTGGTCGCATACAAGGCCGCCTCCGACATCGCGATGACGGAACTTCCACCGACCCACCCCATCCGCCTCGGCCTCGCTCTTAATTTCTCAGTGAGTACCGTACAGTTGTTATCGTCGTTATTTGAGCCGCCTTTCCATTATGGAGGGGGGGGGGAGGCACAGGATGATGCAATTCATTCAGTATTAACCAATATATACCAGTACATTTCAGAAATTTTTATGACAAATCGTTTACTGTGCAAGCTGTTTTGACTATATGATAGTCTACCAACATCTACACAGACTATACAGCGCCTACCATATTTTAAAACAAAAATTAAAGACTTCTATCTGAACAAGTTGTCACGTTCGTAATTTGTGTGTGACTAGCATATTTAAATTTCCTTTTATTTTTATAACTACATATGTATATATATGTATTTAAGTATTTATATATGTATCTATTAATAACTTAAAATATACATTTTTGTATTCACAGTATTCTGCGTATGCATATCTCTATATGTATTTAAAAAACGATCAGTTTCATGCCTTCAGTCACACTGTTTATAATTACTCTTCTCCATCCAAAGGTGGCCTGCAAGAGATCGCTCTTAGCGATAAGGCCGCCCATTGTTTTCTCAGTGTAATGTTTTCTTGTAATTGTTTGTATTTATAATAAGTTTACTATTGTAATTTTATGGAGGAAACAAAGAGTAACTATCTATCTGTCTATATAATTAAAATACACAAAATGTATCCAAATTGCACAGTGTGTAATGCCATAAAATTATTGTGTCACGATGTATTTGCATTTTCATTAAAATATTCAAATTTGCTCAATGCTCGCTCTCGATTTTGATATAATATAGGCGGTTTTATATGTTTTTAGTACATAAATATAATTATTGTTTGTAACCATCACGCTGTGAAAGCAGGGCCTTGATTGTTAACCATTATGGATTGAGACAGAACGATTTAGACTATTTCTATTGACGCACAAGCAACTCCTATGGTGGTAATGTCCTATGGGCTGTAGTAATCAAAATCACTCTTATGCTCCTTTTATTATGTAAAATGGGCCAACCTTTTGACCGATTGTGATGCAAAATTTTGACAATCATAAGTGGTGTTACACAAATTAGTCGATTTTCATCATTTTCATTCGAGTTGAGTGTGGCATATGGCAGTAAAATTACAAGGTACAAAGACAAAACACCTTAGACCTCAGGAATAGCAACACATGGAGGATATCATGGACGAAACAGTATACTCTGTTATGTCCATGGTACTGCTCATGTCTATAGGCGACGGTTACCACTTTCTATCAGGTGGGCCGTCGCTTGTTTGCCATTCTAAATTGCATAAAAAATGTGTGAAGTCTGTCAGGCTCAAATGTATTTTTTGCCATATATTTTTTTTATCTCTTTTGCTTACAATTTTTCTCTCTGTCTATTGTCTCAGCGTACGACGCCGCGACATAACAGTACTGTTAAATGATACGTGTTATCAAATACCAACACGGCCGTTATCTAATCAATATTAGTTTTGATTTATTTAGGAGTCAATGTTGTCGCCGCGTCGTAGGGGTTGTTAAAAATAATTTTATTTATATGTAATGGAGACTGAGAATCCCATTGCTAGCAATGATATACACCAACCAGGTCGACCTGCTTGTTAGGGAGACTTCTCCCTGGTTCTAAACTATCATGGTTAATTCCTGATGAATTCATCATGATGGGCTAACTGGCCTGTTTTCATTATCATCTATCACCCTTCACTGGTGCTCCGCCAGCGTATCCCGTTAGCGCAGGCGGGGTTACCATACCATTTTCACCCATCAAAAAAAAAAAAAAAAAAGCAGTAAACAGATAGCGCAGGCTGGGTTAATCCATTATCACACATTAAAACCTGGTATTATTTATTGTCTCCCTGTTCTAAACTAAATAGGACCCTTGTTATTTACATAATAATTATATAACATTCTTATCTTGCTGGACCTCGGAATCAATATAGAGTTCACTCTACAACCGGACCCTAAAGACTAATCTATCAATGAGTCAACGAACTCTTAATTTGTCTTCTAATGTTAATATTCATTAACATGCTATTTCAAAACGATTATGACTCGTTTTTATCAATTCTGAATGCTTTATTATGGACATTGGTAAATTCCATTTTTTCCTTTCAGGTTTTATTATTTATTTTTTTATTACATCCACTGGGTGAGCCTTACAGTCTTCCAATACGCTCACCCAGGAAAGCATGAGTACAATAATATATAAAAAGGAATATTACATAAAAATAATATAAAAAGATTTAACTGAAACAAAAAACGTGTGAACACAAATACTCTGAGGTCACTCGACGAAACTCCAGCAAGTTGGAGGCAAATACATCCAATTGCGGATACTGGCTCAAAATATCATTGAGTAGTTTCAATGCAAAATTATAATTTGTAATTGTCAAAAGATACGAGTTTTCTCAATGTTGTTAAGAACTAGCTAATGTTCGTCATTCCTTCTCCTATAGACTTTGGTTATATTATCACCCTTGTTGGAGAAAACCTCATGAGAATATAGTATCGAGATACAAATATGCAGTAAAGCCATAATATGTGAATGGTACATATTTATATTTTGCCAGTAGTTGCCACGTTTGACAGGTGGGTTGGCAACCGCAGTTATGCTTTGGTGGTGTTTTAAGAAGGGCGTTTACTGCTAAACCCTTGATCATTAAGTTCCCTTAATTGTCTCTTGGGATACCCACGAGATAGGAAAGAGATAGCGATGGGATGATAGATTTTATGTTAGAAGCATGGCATTCGACTTATTAAAACTATTTTAATATTATAAATTCGAAAGTTTGTAACGATGAATGGATGTTTGTTACACATAAATTACTAATAGGATTTGAATGAAATTTCGTACACGAGGTCATATCGTAATAGCTAGTAATAGGTATATATTGTTTTGTTATTACAACCGTTAACTGTCCACTGCTGGACATAAGTCTTCCCGATAAGGGGAGTTTTGCTAGTAGATGCCACGCTTGGCAGGCGGGTTGACAACCGCAGTGAGGCTTTTCGAGATGTTTTAAAAGAGACACTGCTGCCTATCCCTTGCCCTCTCTTAGTCGCCTCTTACGACACCCACGGGAAAGGAGGGCCTATTCTATGCCGGGACAACACTGCGACGATAATGTTTTGTATCTCATTAAGATTGTCACAATTTATTGTGCATGTGTGAATTTGCACTTAAAACATCTGTTAATCATCATACAGTCCCATACAAACCTTTTTGCAAGTGTCTTCAATGTGTACACGCGCTGTGTTGCAGGTATTCTACTACGAAATCCTGAACAGTCCCGACCGCGCGTGTCGGCTCGCCAAGGCGGCGTTCGACGACGCGATCGCCGAGCTGGACACGCTGTCCGAGGAGAGCTACAAGGACTCGACCCTCATCATGCAGCTGCTCCGGGATAACCTTACCCTTTGGACCTCGGACATGCAGGGCGACGGAGAAGGTGATTAGCACATATCGCTACAGAGTAAACGCAACGCCTGAGAGAGTAGTCTGTTTATTAGAATTGGCTACTCAATCGATAACAGCTGTTTTTAGAATACCTTGGTATTTTTAAAATATAAATTTTCATGACTTTGTGGTCATCAATTAAATGAAATACCTGGCGCCCCTGCACAAGTATTTACCGTGACGCGAGAAAATAGATATTTTCCTTACTGAAGTTTAAATAGTTGACCTATAACACAGTGGCAGCAATGTATTATAATATTGTGTGTTGTGTTGCAGGCGAGGCTGAACAGAAAGAGCAAGCGCAAGACGTGGAAGATCAGGACGTGTCGTAATACCCTTTAAAATAATATTTAACTATAATAAAAAAATAACTATAGTATCATATAAGACCCAGCCCTCAATGACAACCGGTTGTTAAAGGTAACCAGGTAGCCCGTATATCAGAACTCACCAACTTGTTCGTGCGTACACTGGAAAATTATCTATTCGTATATACACGGAACGAATGCCTCCTCCTCCTACATACATAATATTAAAAATTTTGTTTATGTATCGTGTCAAATTATCTATGAGTAATATACATTTTAAATATCTACTTCTTTTTTATATAATCTTTGTTTTCAATAACGAAAAAAAAAAATAATAATAATGTTAAGAAAAAAGTACTTTGGTATTGCATTTTAACTGTATGTTCTTAAGGATGTATTTTGTAAAGGATACACTCTATTGATCTCTAGCGATGTTATCTTAGCTTGTCCGCGCCGGCCGATGCCGAGTAGGTCTCTCGCCAACAGGGATATTTACTATATACAACGCTGAATAGACGTTTCCATCTTTTCACCGCCACACTTTATGGTGGGGATTGTAAATTTTTCTAAGTATTTTGTACCTTGTGTAAAATTAATGTATTTAATCTCTGTTGAGAGTTTACAAGCACCATAGCGGCAAATGTTTATGAGATGTAACGTTTAATTTGGGTATACACTAGGTACGTAAATGTACGTGTTATCGTCGTGGATGGCGTTAGTATAATATGTTCGTACGTATCGCAACTCGGCGTCGACAGCGCCGCCCGCACAAACAGTCGGCCGCACGGCTCGGCGTCCGCTGCAGCTGCGCCGTGCTTGCAGCTTGCACCGTGCAGCTTGCAGCAATGCAGCATGCAGCTTGCAGTCGCCGAGCCACTCGGCGAGTCTTCCGCGCGCGCGCCCACGCTGCATTTGTATACATTTGATCATTCATTGATTGATATATTTTAAAGGATAACATTTAGGGTGGTATTATGTAGTTACTTGCAATATTAATAGGTAAGTGATAGTGGCGTCACCCTATTGGTCTTTATGTATCTATCGTATTGAGCGTACACACACTTGTATTTATTGCGAAAATTTAATACGTTTTGTGTAAATCGTGACTACTGTGTAGTACTACTGTTTACTGTTCAGAACAAACTCGCGTAACGATTTGGCGACTCGACGGGGAGGGTCTGGCTGAGCTTGTTTGTTCGTTTGTTTGTTTGTAGATACATAAACACGTGTCGATGTAACCCGCTTCGTTCGTATTACAACATTTGGAGTATTCACATTTAAATTGCTTTAATTACTTACGAGTATTGTGATAGACATTTTTGTATATTTTAATTTATTCTTTATTTTTTTTTTTTGTTTGTTTTTTTTTTATTTTCGCATGTTCTGGTAAATATTGTGCTGTAGCGCTATACAATTCTTACGATATTGCAGGACAAACAGTAAGTAGATCTAACGTTGTGCTAGGTTTAAGGTAATGCACTTGGAAATTATTTATTGTGCGATCTGTACTGTATGCCTACGCCTACTCGAAGACATTCCATCTTCATACTTATGATAACCGTGAACTGTGGCTAATTCGACAGACTGGACTCCAAATTGTAGTGGCATAGCGTTGTGGAGCGAGTGCGTGCCCGAGTAAGATATTAGCGTTATGTTATTATTTGAATTTGTAATGTTGCGTATATTTTGTTAATTTTTATCCACAACAAATACTGATGCAATTAGCCTTAGCGTTATGCAATATTGATTTATGTCCTACCATCTACATGAAAATTTATTGTAAATGACAGTGTAAATCTAATAATAAACATTCAAAAGTCCACCAATTTTGTTTAATTGAATGCACCCACAATATTGTACCTGTATCGCAGATAGTACTCTGTATGTTTCGAGACCTAAGAACGAGGAATAACATAGAAGGAATGATAAAACAAAAACAGTAAAGACTAGACAAATTACAAACGAATCTTATTGATAGAATCGTTAACATCAACAAATCTGAGATAGAAGATGTGCACTGTCTTCTTGTTTCCCATGTGATCGGCGACCGAAGCGATTCTATCTGAAATAGAGATTTTAATCCACAGCTATAAAACTGAGATGGACATTTCACTAGTTTAGTTTAATCATTGCGGCCCCAAGGGCATAATCTAGAATAATAATGCAAAAATAAAGATATTACGCAGTTGTTTGCATGGCTGTGTTTCTGTATGAAGGGTGGGATATGACAGTGAATTTACAGAGTACTAAGGAATAACACGAGTCCTCGGGAATGGCAACGCACGGGGGGTATCATGGGCGAAACAGTATACTCTGTTATATCCATAACACTGCTCATGTCTATAGGCGACGGTTACCACTTTCTATCAGGTGGGCCCTCAGCTTGTTTGCCAATCTAGGCTGCAATTAATTAATTAATTTTTTTATTTATTTATTTATTAAAGGTATACACAACAGGTTACAATCAATAACATGATAGACATTATATAAAGATATTAGATTGAACCAGATTGAGACCCAGACTCGTGTACACACAGCATGGTTAAAGCAGTCGGCAAACAGTGTTAAATTATAAAGTTATATAAAGAAAGCATATGAAATTGGTAAAAAACAGTGAAGTACATGCAAATGATAAAAATACATAAAGAATATGGATATGTCAAAGAGACTTGATGGCTGATTGTAAAATGTTTTTGAAGGTGTTTAGACGTGAGTTGAAGATATCAATTTGAGGACACTTAGTTGAAAATTCATTAAAAGTACGACACATACGGATAAGCGGGTTATAATACGATGTATTGTTCTTATAAACGCAGAGTGCAAATGTTTTAGAACTCCGTGTTATAGTTTTTATATTGAAGGTCAAAGCAGAGAGTAGAGAAGCCGAGTGAATATGGTAATGAACTATTTTGTGTAAAGTAAGTAAGTCGATCTGTTTTGTCTTGTAGATAAGAGAGTCACATTAAATTTTTCTAGTCTTTTTTCACAACTTGATAGAACCCGCCCATAACCACTACGATAACTTAGAATTTTTAAGAATTTTCGCTGAACAGATTCAATTCTATCGGAATGACATTTATAGCAAGGTGACCATATAACAGAGCCGTATTCAAGAATACTTCGTACCAGAGCATTAAACAAAAGAATAAGGCTATGGGGATTCTTAAAATCAACCGTGACCCTAGCAATAAAACCAAGAAGTTTAGATGACTTCGTAATCAATGTACTATAATGCTCTTTAAATGATAACTTTTCATCAAACTCTATGCCAAGATCTCTGACCACCATCCTCCTAGTAATAAACTGACCGTAAAGATCGTAATTGTAAACTAGTTTGTTCTTTTTATTTGTAATTGAGATCACGAAACATTTTGATACATTGAGATACATGTAGTTCTCTCTACACCATTTCTGTATAACGTATAAGTCGGTTTGCAAAAATTGACAGTCAGTGATATCTTTAACGGCATAGAAGATCTTGAGATCATCCGCATATAGAGCCCGGGGGCATTTCAGTTTATCTATAAGATCATTTATAAAAATAATAAAAAATAAAGGGCCAAGATGTGATCCTTGGGGCACACCGGATAACACAGAAATGGGTGAAGAAGGTACTCCCTTAATAGTAACCAATTGACTCCTATTACTTAAATATGATTGGATCCATCTGAGAAGGCTTCCTATTAATTTTTTTTTCATTAAAAATTTCGTTGATTACAGCTGGTTGATAATAATTAAAATTTCAATACTTATTGATATTTTTTTATACAGCTTAGAATGGCAAACAAGCTTCAAAATAGATTTAAAAAAATACGCCTAAGAATCGATTCTACTTTTTAATGGTTGCTAATGGAATGGTAACAGGTGGGGTCTGTGCCAACGGTATACGTTGACGGGGCACCAGTGAGGGATGATAGCCGAGGATGAAAAGGCATGTTAGTTACAGGCTATATCGTGATGGAATTCTGCACGATCATTTCCAGGGTAGGTCGATCTGACAGGATATATTGCTAGTAATGGGACTAGTATTGTAGACAATCCCTTCCCCACAATCGACCCCATTGTTACAAATAGGACACTTCTATTTATGATCTAAATAAAAGACAGTATAGATTATAAAAATTTATTGCACAGGGATATTCATAACGTGATAACGACTTCAAAATAAACTCGTGTATTGTATATATTATTAAAATATGAGTTCATACAAACCACACGCACACGTACACGCAACGCCGGAACGTGTCTCGCTAGCTATTCAGCCTTACATTTAAATTGCTAACTAACATCGCTGCCATATTGGTACATGCATTATGATCAGCTTTATTTCTCTTGGCGAACTATTGATAAACTAGAAAAGAATATAGACTATACGAATATTTAGGTAGCACGCATAACAAGATGGCAGATGTTGCTGTCTCGTTCTTTCACGCATGTTGTACCAAAAACATCGATGGAATACGTTTGGTACACGTTTAGAAGTCGGATATCCTGTATTCTATTGACTTGTCTCCCATCCCTGCAATTATTGAAGCTACAAGTTTGATCTTTCAAATGTGCTATAAACTTAATATTGAACATCGTTACCTTATCTCCATTAATTCATTTAATTCAGTTCATCAATAGTCAATCGCCATTACAATTTAATACACTCCTTCATAAGTTCGAGTCCTTGGCAAATTTAATAAAAATAAAATCAATAAGTGGGAAACATTTTAGAATTTCCATAACAACAATCGCTTTGGTATCGAGTAGAACATGATAAGGTGATGGCACGTAACACCAAATGTCTAATATAATAAAAAAATATATATATACTTATCGCTTAATATATATTTTATGAAATATCTTCCTGCGTGTATGCACCTTTTCATAGCACGGGCCGACTCGATCCGGTATCTAGAATGCTTCCGACAGAAACAAGATTTCTTCAAATTAAATATACCTGAGATAAGCGGATCGCGAGCGCCGGCGTTAATATCAATAGTAACATTATAACTAGACAATATGGTTTAGATGCATCACAAATAAAATTTGGCTCCGCTAGAATCCACTTATTAAAATAATCTCGGCTTGTTCACATATACGATTCGACATTCATCGTTGATGATTCCGATCATTTGAAATCGTCAATGACGAATACGTATTCACACAAAGACCGACTCGTGACTCAAAAGGATATGTCGACGGTCCCTCCTAAAAATTTCCATATTTTTGGACTCATTTGAAATTTTATGGGAAAAATATCACAAACGTGTACGACGAGCCACAGCAAAAGATATAGTACAAATTCATATCACGATCGGTCGGTGTGCGAACGAAGCCTACACATCGCGGTTTATAGATCAAGAGCGATCCCCGCGTCAGACTAAAATAAAATAAATCTAATACTTATTAAAATATCTCACTACATTATCAAGCATTACTACATTGTGTCCAAGCCTTGTAATAACGAATGTTGAGCCCCTTCACAATAAGCTAAAAAAGCACTGAAACATCGATCGTTGTTTTATAAAATTAAATATAATTATTATTAATTTAATTTGATTATATAACATACTTTCACAATATTAACACTAGATCCGCTGCTGAGTGCAGTACGTAAAAATATATTACAAATGCCTGGGAATAATTCGCGCCACAATGTTTTATATACATTTCAATCTACCCTCATAATAAAATGTTACTGTAACATTTTAGAACGCTAGTTTTACATCGCGATGCATAAAACTGTTATATCGTTACAGCAAATTCGAGAGGGACACGACCAATAGCGAAATATAATACAAAATGTTTAGAGAATATTTCAACAGAGCGATTATTTCAAGAGGCACTTAGCAACTGTGCAACTGGGCGCAAACTATTCCTGGCATGGCATATTTCTATAATTAAATACAACATAAAACGATGAGTAAATAGCATTATAATAATATATTACATCACATCAGTCTCGATCGTATAAATAGCGGCGTGACGTCACACCGTTTGTTCAATTGCTTACACCATATCTCATGTACTAAGTAGTAAAAAATATCTGTATATAGCGAGAGACGGGATCAAAACCAACAATGACTGTATTGTACAATAACATATTATGTGATAGCTTTAGAAAGGTTTTTAAATACATTTAAAGTTAGCTATGAATATAATAATTTAGAGAGGTCGACAAATTATGCAAAAATAATTGTATTTTTAAACGCTAGTGAAGCGTAAAGAAAATATCGTGGTTTTGATACCGCCTCCCATTTATTTCGATTCCTATTTCCACTCTTCAAATTTATCAGACACCAAATGGCTCACATAACACAATTTTCAAATTTAACAAAAATATACATAAAAACAAATAAATATCCATTTATCATCGTACACGAAACGATAATAAAATCAACAAGGAATGTGTCGTAACATTTTACAAATGTCCGCCTAACAAATTGTTGAATTTAATAATAAATTTCTAGTCAAAGTGTCGTTAGCCGCCGATTACCGTGACAAAGTGTACTTCTAAATTGTACAGATAAATATCTGATATTATAAATAATAGTAATAATAACACGGGACAAAACGCTGGGCCATCTTATACGACATGACGATTTAAAAAAATATCATAAGCAAATATAGAGGACAAGAGGAAGGGGAAAACCGAGGAATAACTACATGGGACAGATAAAAGAAACACTAGGCGTCATGTCGTATAGGCAGGTCAAGGATTTGTACCTGGGATAGAGCTGGCTGGAAGAGGATGCATGAATTAGTTGCACCGACAAGAGGAAACTTTTAAATGAAAAGAGAGTGTACAGTGGGTAAAAAATTAATTTTATGTACTGAATCACGAGAAAGTTAGAAACATTGCACGCAGATCCAAATAATGGGATGACGGTCAGACGTTAGACGGGGATGGGATGGGATAGGTGTGTAATTTTAGTAAACCTAAGACAAGTCTGAGAAAAATTAAACCTTTAAATATATTTTTTTTTGTATACTCACGCGTATATTCCAATACTGGTTTAAATATAAATGCAATTTATCGAAAAGTTTCAAATTACCTTTCCCACAAGGTTACTAATATAAGAGACATGACAATTTGCAAGGAACATGTTCGATTATTCTATATCAGGTAAACAGCTGTTTTGATACTTGAAACAAAGGACGTGCAGACACCAGAATTTTATTACAATAGAATTTATATTACATATAATATAATTTACATATTTACCTCAAGATTTCACGTGTTCGGTAAAAAAATAACGTATGCGACACGTAAGACGTGCGTAATAGGCACCCTCTATTCCTTGTACCTTAGCACGACAAATTACAACTTTACCACCACAATAAAGTAGGGGAGCAAAATAAATACATGCAATTTTATGGAGATGTTTTTAAATTTATACACACTCCACGATATAATCATCTTTAAGGAGTAAGAAATAAAGTAGCTTTTTGTGTGTTATTTCGTTCAATTCAATCACGCAATGGATTTCTCTGTCGTTTGGATATTATTTACGGAATTTTAGCACAGTGCATCCTAACAGTGCATTCGTGCAAGGCCAGGGGCGAATCGCTAATAAATAAAATAATATTAAATGACATCAGTTAAAAAATGGACCGTATAGCTGTTGCCTTTTGGTTCTTTTTTGGTAATCCTCAAAAAAAATCTAGTTAAAAAAAATTAAATAAAAAAATTCAAAACAATACGTGAATTGAATTAACGTAATTTGTTTCAATTGCATTTTTGCTCTAGTTCTACATAATTACTTTAAAAATTTCTAAAATGATGGTGTACGATGTGGTGCCAGGGTCGGGTCAGGAGTATGCAGTTGACTAGGAAGGTGGACGGCGGGGTCCCGTTCACATGAGGCGGCACATCTTCTTCAGGTCCGAATCGTCGGGGTCGAGGTCGGGGGCGTCCGCGGGCGGCGGTCGGCCCGACACGTCCGGCAGGTACCGCTCGTAGTCGAGCCCGCGCCGCTCGTAGAACAGCAGGTACGCGGACGCCGGGTCGATGGCCGGCTGCTCCTCGTCGTCGCCATCATCCTTTCAAGTAGAGCGAAATATATTGAACATGTTTAATGATTCATTATCAGCACCACCAGGTGGTATCTGCTGTCCACTGGTGAACATAGGCCTCCCTCATAAGAGAAGTTTCGGAGTTCCACATCAAACAAAAAAAAAATCAGCAATACTCAAGTGAGACAGAGCACGATATGTGAGTGATAAGTGGGCTAAAACCTATAAACATTCATTTTTTATTATAAATTCTCTATTGCACTAAACCATACATTAACAACAATAAGTTAATAACAATGTTAGCAAAGGCGAACTTATCTCTAAAAGAGATCTCTTCCAGTCAACCTAACGCAGTGGCATAGGAAGTAGTGAGTGGGCAGTAGTAGTGCAAGACAGAAGTTAAAAAATGTCTCTCTCTTCTGCAAATCTAAAGGGATTATGGCAAACCACTAATTGTGTGATACTTTATTAGTTCTATAAAAAAAATTATGTTTTAACCGTGGAAAGCAAAAGCAAGTTGCGTGTGAAGAATGGAGAAAAACAAGGCGTACAGATGTTTATGGTAAAAGTTTTTTACACTAGAGATTTCAAACGAATGGATCGCAGATTTATGTACATAATTGTATCGGCCGTTAACTGTCCACTGCTGGACATAGGCCTCACCCATAAGGGAGGTTTTGCCAGTAGCTGCCACGCTTAGTAGGCGGGTTGGCAACCGCAGTTTGTCTGCTGGTGACGTCCTGGCCACTCCTCAAGTATAAGGTCCACGAGCGGCGTGTTGCGAGCCACTCGGCCACTGGACAGGAAGGCGTGGTCACGCTGTGGTCACCTGGTGAGCTGGGCGCGGCGCGGTGAGCTCGCGGCACGAGCTGTCGTTGTAGCAGAGCCACGCGCCCGACGGGTTGCGCGCGTACGCCACGTAGTGCCCGCCGCTCAGCTGCCCGCTGTGCGACTGCCGCCACACCACACCGATTTTTTTTATACAACTTAGAATGGCAAACAAGCTGACGGCCCACCTGATGGAAAGTGGTAACCGTCGCCTATATACATGAGCAGTACCACGGACATAACAGAGTATACTGTTTCGCCCATGATACCTCCCATGCGTTGCCATTCCTGAGGACTCGGGTGTTATTCCTCTGTACCCAGTAAATTCACGGCATATCCCACCCTTCAAACCGAAACACAGTCATGCAAACACAACTGCTTCACGGTTGAAATACGAATGGGACAGAGGTACCCAAGCAATCGACTTTTGTACAGTCTCCCTCTGGTAATTTTACCGACCGGCTACTCTCACGCCCACAAAACACAACGCGACGGAGGAAACCTCCACGCGATCCCCCCTGGAAACCATCGTGACTAATTTATCGTTGATTTGGTCACGATGGGCTAATTAACCTGCCTTTTCATCCTCACCTATTATCCCTCACTGGTGCTCCGCCAGCGTATACCGTTAGCGTGAGCGGGGTTACCGTTCCATTGTAAAAAAATGTAGTATTACCGTTAGATAGTACCATGTTATAAATCGGAATATACTGGGGAAAACATAAAGATTGTTACGTTACAGGCAGTCCAAAGGTTTTTCAACCACGTAATGTCGACAAAATCCCACCAAATCTCATTTAAAAAAAAATTGGGAGTCATTAAAAATATTTTAGAGAATAAATTCTTATTCTCCTCTCCTTATTAAACATAAAAATGTATTATAACTAACTTCACGCGAGATCATGTAAGAATTCTCATGGCATCCCATATATTTAAGTCTGTTCTGGTATTCAGAAGTTACGGTGGAACAATAAAACTCACATACATAACTTAGATTTCAATTGAATAATTCAAATGCAGTGAAAACAGTGGACTCACCACGACGGCGTAGAGCCGGTACTTGAGGTCGAAGGGGTCCTGGCCGGGCAGCAGGCGGTGCTGGTGGTAGTCGACCAGGTTGTCGTCGGTGACGGGCGTGGCGGCCAGGCTGGTGGACTGCAGCCGCTCGCGCCGCCGCACCTCCACCGACTCGCGCCGCTTCTTGCGATCCAGTTTCGCCTTCACTTTTGGTGTGTCCTTCAACAATACATGTTCATGCTCATGTCGTTATAATTTTTAACAGTATTTTTTTATATATATATTTTTTTTATTTTATTATCGTCGTTAGAATATATTTTTTTTTAAATAATCAGAAATATTGATAAAGATAAAGATAAAGATAAATTTATTTGCAAACATGTGTACATAGTAAGTGCAAAGACATACTTGTTGTTCATTGTAGGATTTGTATAGTCCTAACATGTTTTGCTAACATTAGCGTGCAAAATATTATTTCAAGGACAGTGGCAATTTCAAGTGCCTTACAAAGCAAATCCATGCCCCCTATCTATCCATGCCTTACAAAACATATTAATATTTTGTGAAGATTAGATATAAACTAAATAAAAAGTCAAATGGAAAATGGATTAAAGGTTGTCATTTAAAAATTCGTCAATATTATAATAACATTTGTCATGCAGTAGCATAACTGTTTAATTACAATCAATTATAAATCCAGAGGGAGACTTTGTACAAAAGTCGATTGCTTGGGCACCTCTGTCCCATTCGTGTTTCAACCGTGAAGCAGTTGTGTTTGCATGGCTGTGTTTCGGTTTGAAGGGTGGGATATGGCAGTGAATTTACTGGGTACTGAGGAATAACATCTGAGCCTTAAGGAATGGCAACGCAGAGGGGGGGGGGGGGTTATCATGGGCGAAACAGTATACTCTATTATGTCCATGGTACTGCTCATGTCTATAGGCGACGGTTACCACTTTCCATCAGGTGGGCCGTCAGCTTGTTTCTAAGTTTCTTTGTTTCATTCTAAGTTGTATAAAAAAAAAATCCCCACCGAAATATAACTTTCTTTTTGTTTTTGTTGTATTATTGTAAAATTATGTGTAACTAGTGATCTGGCCTACATTGACAAATAAATCATTACTTTATAATACCTAGGAGGTGCCCTGCAATGACATATTCAGTAGATGTTCACATACTAATTGTTAAAATCGGTAAGCAAAAAAAAAAAATTATTTTGTTTAAAGCTATCTCTATTAGTATTTAAATAGAACATAGACTATATATAGTCCACTGTTGAACATAGGTTCCCCCCTTGGGGGGTTTTGCTAGTAGTTGCCATGTTTAGCAGGCGGGTTGGTAACCGCAGTCAGGCTTTAGAGATGTTTTAAAGGGGGCACTGCTGATCATCTCTCGCCCTCCCTTACGACAGTCATAAGAGAGGAAGGGATGGCCTATTGTACGCCGGGACCACATGGCCATACATTAAGTTCGAAAAGTTATCCGAATTATTGCCGAAGATCGGCAACTTAAATGCGCTAAATGTGGCGATGTGGCGATGTGGCGATACAGTGATACAGTAAGTAGGTACCGCGGCAGGCGGGTTGGCGTGCGTATCGGAGGCGGCGTCGTCGGAGTCGCTCCCCGAGCTGCACTCCGGCAGCGGCGAGTGGAGGACGGCGGACGAGCGGCGCCGGCTCATCAGCTCCTTGTGCCGGAGCAGCGTCTCCTGCGGCACCGACGCCAGGTACTCCGTCGGCTCCAGGTCTTGGAATGGAAAGTTCACCACCTTCTGCGACTTGATCCACTTGTTGTTCATGTATTGGAATCGCTTCAGGTGGATTATCTGTAAAATATTGTTAGAATTCTTTTACTGTGTGAAATTAGACTAAGGCTGGGGGGAAAGGGATTGTTAGCAATGGGGTTTGACAGCCCCATTGCTAGCAATGTGCATTATTAGGTCGACCTTCACATGGTTCCCCCTGGAAACCATCGTGAACAATTCTTGTCGAATTCGTCACGATGAGCTAACTGACCTGCTTCATCCTCACCTATCATCCTTCACTGGTGCCCCGCCGGTGTATACCGATAGCGCAGGCGGGGTTACCATTTTATTATCATCCATTTAAAAAAAAATTAGACTAAGACTAGTGTCACATTGGGGCGATTTTTAGTCGTCGATCATTCGCAATGAAATAAATAGCAATACATCAAATTGAATACAGTTAAACATTTCAGGTCACAATGCGTTGAAAATTAGTCAGGCAATGATGCAACGCAGCGCAACGCTTGTATCCAGCATTTGATTAGTCATCGGCGCGCAGATTTTCTACAAACGGAAGATCGGCAACGCTAATTTATATGTTTTCGTATACAATGTTTGATATTCGATTCGTATTGATTTCGATTATTGAAGATCGGGTCTTATGTGGTGTTAGCTTAGCCTGGTAGTATTTTTTAAAACAGTATTTACAAGATTTCAAACCGCTTTGAGTATGTTTAAGTTACAGAGATGTTTTCTCCCACGAATGCTCAAGTTACAGAATGAGCTGCCTGTTAATGTTTTGCCAAGAAATTACAGCAGGGGATTCTTCAGAAGGGGATAAAGAGGTCTCGTCGGGGTCCGTAACATGCGTGTAATGCCCTTAGTATTTTAGGCGTTCATAGGACTACGGTAATCCATCAGGTGGGCCGTATGCTTGATATGCCAACTCAGCGGTATAGAAAAAAAGAAAATGCTACATTAAACAAATAGAGTAACGGGGAACGAACGAAAACGTGTGTGCGTAATAATTTAGGTATGTTTGTGTATATTTGCTGGTGTCTGGTGGTTGGCGGGGCGGGCGAGCGGTACCAGGATGGGCGGCGCGCGCCAGATCTGCAGCTTCTTGGTGGCGGGCTGCGCGCTGCGGCAGCGCGTGCACGCGTAGCGCGCGTCCAGCCGCTCCACGCTGGTGAACGCGCGCAGGCAGCTGCGCACGTCCACCGCGCCCGTGCCCGGCGTACCAGGCCCGGCCGCAGCATCCGCGGCACACGCCCGCTCGCGCGTCCACTGGTACTGCAGGTGCAGCGCCGTCGGCTCCCAGTCGATGGCCAGCATCACGCGCCGCCGCAGCACGCTGCCGTCCACGCGGCTGATCTCGCCGGAGCCCTGCGCACCGCACCATATTCCACAAGCTGGTACTGCTACGTCAGTACAGATACTATGTGTGCTGTCCGCACGTTTATCAATTTACCGAACTCGTTATTTCAAATGACGAAAAATCTCGACAAATCCTATTTTGATGTTTTATATTAGTAAAATTTTAATACAAAAGTTCATAATCTATATATGTAAGATATCATCCTCTTCAAATGACGTTTGAACATTTTTATAACAGCCTCCCACAAACCTCCGAAATGAAATGTACAAGATGAATTGAAATGCCAGGAATAAATAAATAATTATATTCCTTCATTAATATCAACGAAATGGAAACTAGCACACACTTTTTTAAATACATAAATGAAATAATAATGGTTCTTGCTGAAAAACAGCGCTGTAGCGCTTCAAGCGCTGCAGCAATATGCTGAGCACGGACCTACATCACAGAACATTGCGACACACACGCGCGCACGCGTACATTATAATTTAATTGCTATCTATTTGTATATAATTATTATTTTCTTTTGTTTGTTTTGTTTTGATTTCTTTTGTTTTTGTTTTGTGCGCTACTGTGTGGGCCGCATGTTTCTTTTGATTAAATTATTTCTTTCTATTTCTTTCTTTCTTTAAATAAAAAAAAAATCCTACTTAGTAGCATTACATACGTCAGGGTAGGAGGAAAGTCTGGTGGCGGGTCGCAGCCTGTGCTGGCCCGCGGTCGGGTCCACCTCCGTGCCTACCTCCGCCTCCACGTCTGAATTCGAACATTTACATGACGAGCTTGTGTTTCCTGATACAGAAATATATCTATACATTCGTGATTGTTCATATTAGAGACATATAGACTTTAAGATGTATATATATGTATATATTTCTTGCTAACGATAAAATAAAAAAATAAACTTTTAAGCTTAATTTTACTGGTTACTTTGTTTCATATATATATATATATATATATATATATATATATATATATATATATATATATATATATATATATATATATATATATATATATATATATATATATATATATATGTAATATTTATGTATTTTTTTATGCCACTTAGAATGGTAAATAAGCTGACGGCTCACTTGATGGAAAGTGGTAACCATCGCTTATAGACATGAGCAGTATTATGGATATAAGAGAGTGTACTATTTCACCCATGATACCCCCTATGCGTTGCCATTCCTGAAGAGTAAGATGTTATTCCTGTATACCCTGTAAATTCACTGCCATATCTCAACCTTCAAACTGCTTCACGGTGGAAACATAAATGGGACAGAGGTGGCCAAGCAAACGTCTTTTGTACAAAGTCTTCTTCTGATTCTGGTTCTATAGTTATTTGTTTATAATATATGAAGTGTACTTGTGTGTATTTGTGTGCGTTGTCTGGCAGGTGTAGGTATTGGGTGGTGAGTACTAGTTTAGGGCACCGTACCGGTGTGCACGAGCGGGCGCGCGGTGGGCGGCAGCACGCAGCCGCGGCACAGCGCCGGCCACGCGCACGCGCCGCACCACGCGCCGCCGCCGCCCACCAGCCGCAGCGTGAACGGGAACGAGTAGCCCAGGCTGTCGTCGCTGCACACACATCACACATCACACATCACGGTACACCACTTGACGCACCTTCGCAACACCCAACATCCGCTACGCAACGTCCGTCGCTTATTTTTAGTGGCATTAATACCTTGCAAGGCGTATAGTCTCTACGCTATGACGCTTAAACGATTACTTGAATGACAAACGTGCACGGTGTTAGTCGATCCATGCACGGGCCTTTAACCATGTAATTTTAGATACAATACATTTAAATAAATACACACAATATCAACAGTGATTTAAAAGAGAGTAACCGTTGAGTTTCTTGCGGACTATTCGCAACAGATAACTTTCTAAACCCTGCAGTAGATTTAAATAAATGACGATTTAAAAGTGCTTGTAAACAAGTGTATTTCAATAAAGATGACTTCAATTTGACCTTTAGTAGAGCGAAGATCCAAGCATTGATGACCAAACAGACAAGGCGCGGTGTTATGGCAACGTAACGACTCTTTCGTGTAGTGTAACTGAGGGTAGTTAGGTACACTGTATGCACTTTAATGTATCGACGTTTTATCGACGAAGATACACTGAATACGGCGTTAGTTTTAATGGAAAATGTGTTTCTAAAAATCACAATTGTCTACGCTTCAAATATATAACATGTGACAGTTTACGAGTCTCTCGCACTATTGTTGCTTTGATTGTCAATTTATTGTCTTGTTTATGGTTGTGTCATCTATCCTTTTGTTTGCATTGTCATGCCTCAATTAATAAACGAAACTAGCAATTTAATTAACAACTTTATTTTACAAACAAATAATTCCCAAATGGAACAACAATATTATAATACGTTCTTAGAATGTATATTGTATGATCACTCTCTGGCTTTCATTATGATTGAACCTCTCTCTTTCTACCTTCCGTTTATGGTACGTGCGTTCGAAAAAGGAACACACCGCGCTCAGTACACAAACAAACAAACACACACACAGAGAGAGAGTGAGTAAGAGAGGAAGGAGGGAGGGAGGGAGGAAGGGAGGGAGGGAGGGAGGGAGGGAGAGAGAGAGGTTAAGGAGAGAGGAGGGGAGGGTGAGAGGGATAGGGAGGGAGGGCGAGGATGAGAGGACCGGCGAGGGGGGGAGGGAGAGGGAGGGATGGTGAGAGGGGAAAGGGGGGAGAGAGGGAGAGGGAGAGAGAGAGATAAACTTCATGTGTAGTAATATCGGTCATATAGTTAGCTATTATTTTTTTTATAATATATAATCATTTATTTTCGTCAAGTTCAAGCGTTAGAACGTGACACGATGGGCGAAGGACAATTGAACAAAATTCCAATTTTAATAAAAAATAAAAACTACAAACATAAATTAATGTTTAACTAAACGTACTTACCAATCGGTGGCATGGTTGGACTGATCATGCGCGGGCGGTCTCGCACTCAGCAGCCTCGCGACCTACGAACCGACGCAAAGAGTAAACAATTAATTAATAATGTCACTGAAATAAGAGACAGACTATACTATATTAGGTTGGCCAAAATGAAGACAGTTGATTCAGATGAATGGTCTGAATCAGACGGCAGATTATTTCCCTACCGGAAATGCACCGCAGCCGTGTAATTAATTAATGATACCGCGCAATGTATTTAAAATTTTACGATCCACACGACGCACGGTGATGATGGCGGTAGTGGGAGTGATGGTGTTGGTGGTAGTGGCGGTAGTGGTGATAGTGACGATGGTGGTAGTGGTGGTGGTGGTTATGGTGTTGGTTGTCGTGGTGGCGGCTGTGGTGGTGGTAGTGGTAGTGGTGGTGACAGTGGTGGTGGTGGTGGTGGTGGTGATGGTAGTGATAGTGGTGACGGTGGTGGTGTTGGTGGCGGAGGTGGCACGTGCCTGCGTCCAGACGGCCGCGTAGAGGTCGCGGCCTGTCATGCGGTTGCGCAGCGGCACCAGCAGCGGCACGCCGAACAGCGCCGGCTTGCAGCGCTGCGACGGCAGGAAGTACGCGTCCGCGCGGCTCTGCTTCCTGACACATTCGCACTCATGCATATTTATTTATATTTACCAAACATTTTTATAAATATTATTATTTCTGCTGGACATAAGGCTTTCTCAAAAGGGGAGTTTTGCTAATAGTCGCCAAGTTTGACAGGCGGGTTGGCGACCGCAGTTTGGCTTCTAGTGATGTTTTAAGAGGGACGCTGCTGTGCATCCCTCGCTTCCCTCAGTCGCGTCTTACGACACCCACGGGAAAGGAAGGGGTGGCCCATTCTATGCCGGGACCTACACGGCTGATAGTACAGGCTACAGTAGTTTTGCTTTGAGTGTCCTAATTGTACCCGAGTAACACGGGCAATCCTACCTGTAAACTAGGCGATTGGTGTGATCACGAAGCCTAACATATATTAATAGGGGGGAAGGGGATTGCTAGCAATATATCCAACCAGGTCGACCTCTTCGCGGTTCTCCCTGGAAACTATCATGATTAATTCCTGATGAATTCATCATGATGTGCTAACTGGCCTGTTTTCATTCTCACCTATCACCCTTCACTGGTGCTCCGCCAGCGTATCCTGTTAGCGCAGGCGGGGTTACCATACCATTTTCACCCATCAAAAAAAAAAACATATATTAATAAGCCTAAGATATTTTAATAAAAATAGATAACAAATCCATGCATTTCTCAAACGGCTATGCATACACTTACCTATGCACTGCAATTAAATACTGCAACGAGCCCTTCTGGATCGGACTCTCCATCTCGTTCATCTGGCACATGTTAGACGGAGACGAACAGAACTTGACCTTGCCCAGTCTTGGTGTCGACGGTTTCATATTGAGAGACTTGACACTCAGGGTGGGCGAGCTGCCGATGTTTCGCTTCAGACCCTTTGGCAACGTATTGCTGCGGTAGTCCGGGTTGTCACTGTACGTGTGGTCCTGGTTGCCGTAGAAGGTGTTCGGCGGACTCTGCGACACCAGAATTTCTGACCTCGACCGCTGGAATTCACCATCGATTAATATTATAGTTCACGTCGTACGTGACCAAAGCATTGTTAAGCTGGTTTATATACGTTCTACGAATACTTGCAGATTTGAGGTAAGGAAGGATATTTATTTAATTTAAACTTTAACGCACTGTGCGTTAAAGTTTAAATTCTATGTACACATGGCGTACTTAACATAGGACGGTGTTCTTTACTAGTTAATCATTATATCTCATTATAGTTATTATAAAGAGAGTGCTTCATGTAAGACAATGTGACAATGAGGATCCAATCCTTTGACAAAATTAATTTAAATACATAAATATGAGATTATTTAAAAAAAAAAAAAAGAACTAAAGCGCTGTATAATAACAATTTATATATAAAAATCTTAAGGGTCAAAAATTCTTATTCAATTATCGGGGGAAAACAATTTTTTTTATTTGTAAATTTGAATTAACTGCAGTGTCTATTAGGGGTGTAAAATGGGTTATGAAAAATTAAACACCTATTGTTTACCCGAATATTAAATTGCATAAAATCCGTTGTACTATTTTCTTGTAATGACAACAATAGAAAGTCATAAAGATATTAAATAGAAAATTTAAAATTGTTTTTTTTTTTTGTCATTACCTATTTCTAACACTAATAGCACAAGCTTCTAAATTAAATAAACAAATAGCAAATATGCGAGGAAAACAAGTAATATGTATAGATTTTATTATGGTTCTTGTTTTACGATGAACAATTCACTTACAGTGTTTTACATAGCTAATTTAATATTTTTTTTAAAGTAACACAAACATTATCAAGCTTAAGTGTGCATCCTCTCATTTGTAAATAGAGGTATTATTATAATACTTGGCGAATTCAATTTTTTTTTATAAAACTTAGAATGGCAAACAAGCTGACGGCCCACCTGATGGAAAATGGTAACCGTCGCCTATAGACATGAGCAGTATTATCGACATAACAGAGTATACTGTTTCGTCCATGATACCCCCCATGCGTTGCCATTCCTGAGGACTCGGATGTTATTCCTCCGTACCCAGTAAATTCACGCCATATCCCACCCTTCAAACCGAAACACAACAATGCAAACACAACTGCTTCACGGTAGAAACACGAATGGGACAGAGGTACCCAAGCAATCGACTTTTGTACAAAGTCTCCCCCTGGTAAATTTCAATTTCAAAATGAATGCTATTATATTAAAAATAAATCGTCAAAACCAACTTACAATGCTTGAAGCAATCTCTAATATAATATGTACACATCGAATACTAATATAATACAAAATGTACATTAAGCTCGAGGCATCATTCCCTCTCATTGAAAATTTTATTTATAATTTAGCAAATCCATAATAACAATCACAGAGAACTAAATTATAAAATATTGTTAATTCAATTCTATCTAGAGGTAAAGAATGACACTTCGCACGTTTAAGACCGCATCGCAAAATCATATTTCCCACATGTGGACCGGCATTTATTATCTATTTAAACTACTGTACATAGTACCCATCCGTGGACACGCGGGACGGTAATGTTGCGGAGTGAACCACCGGTGGGCAAGCGGTCTTTAACGTGTTAAGAATCGAGCCCATTTCTTTTTTTTTTTCCAAAGATATACAAAAATATTCGAATAATGCTAGAACAAAAATGCAGAGTCTATAGCGTGGCGACGTCACAGTAGTTCGTGTAAATATGCAATGAGTGACAGATGATGAATGCTATTCTAAATCAATGTTTCCCAACCATTTTTGTGCCACGCCCCACTTGAACATTTCTAAAATTTTTATACCCACATACATAATTTTTCCCGACAAAGTTTACTTGACGACTCTAATTGCTTAGTTGATATTTTAGTACCGTCAAACAAAATTATACCTGCATTTTTTTTGTTAAATTTGACACGAGCAAGATGATTAAAAACGCTTCGAGTCCATTTTTTAATTGCCCCACCCCTGCCCCTAACTATCAAATTGCCCCCCTGTGGGGCGTGGCCCTCACGTTGGGAATCACCGTTCTAAATTATACTTTACGCACATTGAAATACACGATAATTTGGTATGAACATGAATTTGTAATGTGTAACCTACCTTCAATAATGTTTTTTTAAGGTCGGTTCGATTTAGGAAACTTAGAACTTGCGTTTTAAACTACAGATGGAGTATTTAAAATATGACCTATACGTTTATTTAGAAATACTTTTTAAATTTCGCTATGTACTATTTTTTTTTTATTGACAGATACGCCTCTAGAAAATTAGTAGTTAGTATATTTATTTATTTATTTATATTTATTAGCATGTCACGTGGTACAAATTATTTATTTTCTTATTTATTGACTTTTGTACAAAGTCTCCCTGTGGTAAAAATTAAAAACTCGAGCAAACCTATTATGACTATTAGCATGTTATCACATTCTTCCAAATTGAGAAATTAGCACGAATAAAAGAGACAAAACAATACAATATACCAATCAAATAGATTTATTAGTTAATTCCACGTTTTCATGTCTATGAGGGTTAGTATTTTTTTACAATTTGTTTTTAGTAACCCACACCAATTACCATTTAAACTGCGTACGATTAACGTATTTTCCCGCCACTTCTATCTCACTCACACTAACTGTACATTCAAATAAGCAGAGTGAGACGGCGAGTTCGATTCCTTCATCATCGACCTGTGTTGTTTCTTGTAATGCAAAATGATATTGTAGTTTCATGTTTTGTATTTCATTGAGGGGCACTTTTATAGCATATGGTGCGGTTTTATGGCCATAGTGGAAAAATATAGCTCGTTTTGAAAGTACACAATGAAAAATCATCATACAAAATAAAAAATCCACTTAAATTTTGACAAAATTATGATTATTATGGTTTAAAAACTAAACTGCTGAATATAGGGTTTTAATTATTCAATGGCTATATCTAATATGTATGGCATAAAAGCGCCCAATATGAGATTTTTTTTTAATACAACTTAGAATGGCAAACAAGCTGACGGCCCACCTGATGTAAAGTGGTAACCGTCGCCTATAGACACGAGCAGTACCATGGACATAACAGAGTACACTGTTTCACCCATGATACCCCCCATGCGTTGCCATTCCTGAGGACTCAGGTGTTATTCCTCTGTACCCGGTAAATTCACTGTCATATCCCACCCTTCAAACCGAAACACAGCCATGCAAACACAACTGCTTCACGGTTGAAACACGAATATGAAAAAAAAAACAACAAAAAGAGAACAACAAATTGCTACAGCTGTTTTATCTTGTTGTAGATGGATTAAATGTTATGATAGCTACTCTCCACACTCTATAATCTCAAATTACATACATTCTAAGTTCTATTTACTGTTAGAGAAAAAAAAAAACTAATTATTGTAAAAAAAAAACTATGTCAGATTAATTATACATCCAGAGGCGATATTTCCTTACTCTGCCATTTCACTGGTTCCTTTGACTTTTGGTGCTTTAACACATTTAATATATATTTACTGAGAGTGACAGGCTGATGGTAGACATGGCGGGTAATGGAAATAACCATAAGCTTAGACATACCTCCTTTTACATTATATAGATAGAGTTTCGAGCCTCAATAACGGGTCAACTTTTTGCCAGCTAATTGTCAAATTAGCTGACTTGTTTTTTTATCAGTGTTTTATTTACTTACACACATAATGTATCTTGATGTATTATTTAATAAATAAATGAGTGTTTACGCATTGAAAAGATGCAGAAATTATAAGACAAAATAAATATAGAAGTTATAAAGGAATCACTCATAACTATTTATCATGCAAAATTGTATGAAAAATTTGACCTGTTTTTCTCGAAGCATTTGTATGGAGACACTCTATCTATATAATTTAAGATTAGAATACCATTCCTTTGGACTTTTATGGTAACAATTTTGACAAACGAAATGTTAAACTCCATTTTCTGCGCCGATTTCGGCACGAACAAAACACGAAATCGAGTCCGAAAAATCGGAATTTCATTTCTTGGCAGACCCCCTGGAAGCAACGTTATTTTAATTAAAAAAAAATCTTTATTCTTAAATATTGAACAGTAAAAAACAACACCATTCTTCCCAAGGGTTACCAAGGGTTCTTCTATATTTCTTTTGTTACGGAACCCTAAAAATGGCGTAGAAAATATTGCATTATTGCTGCATGTCACCTGTAACATTTGATTTTACATAATTTTATTCGCGACACAGTTTTATAACTTCTGCGGATATCGTCGTTTTTTCAATAAAATTGTAATCAATGTTTTTGTTTCAAATAAAGAATTATTATTATGAATTACTATCAGAGAGCGGAACAATGTGTGGACGCGTGTGTGCACGTGTGTGGGCGTGTGTGGGCGTGTGTGGGCGTGTGTGCGCGGCGCGTGTGCGTGTGCGTGTGCGTGTGCCGGTAGCTAACCTTGAAGCAGAAGAGTGCGGGCATGCAGAGTGAGGAAGGATTGCCGGCGCGAGGCACACTCACCTCCGCCCACGGGCTGCCCTCCTCGCACCACCCTGCACCACGCATATTCTGATTATTGCTTTATTCAATTCATTGTTACTACGTGACATTATTTTTTCCCTATCACAGTGATATAATATATTTTTTTGTATGGCAAACGAGCTGACGGCCCACCGGATGGTAAGTGGTAACCGTCGCCTATAGACATGAGCTGTATATAACTATGGACATAACAGAGTATACTGTTTCACCCATGATACCTCCCATGCGTTGCCATTCCTGAGGACTCAGGTGTTATTCCTCTGTACTCTGTAAATTCACTGCCATATCCCACTCTTCAAACCGAAACACAGCCATGCAAACACAACTGAATTTACAGGGTACAGAGGAATAACACTCGAGTTCTCAGGAATGACAACGCATGGGGGGTATCATGGGTGAAACAGTATACTCTATTATGTCCATGGTACTGCTTATGTCTATAGGCGACGGTTACCACTTTCCATCAGGTGGGCCATCAGCTTGTTTGCCATTTTAAGTTGTATAAAAAATCTATCTTAAAAATAAGCAAAATTTTAGTGGCCTGTAAGTGTTATATATAAAAAGAGACTAGTAACAGGTGTGGTCTGACCGTTGTGCTGCGGCGCGTGGTCACAGTCGGAGGCCGCGCCGCTGGCGTCGCTGCAGTGGTTGCAATCGGTACAGCCGGCGCAGTCGGTGCAGTGGCTGCATTCCGGACGCGGCGTCTCGTAGGCATACAGCTCGTTGGCGGTGGCGGCGCTAATCTTGGCGCCGTCGTCGCATATGCGGCCGATGGTTGCACCAGACAGCTCCGCGATCAACATACTGGCACACAGGGTTTTTATATAAAAAAAAAAAAAAAAATTACTTAATTTGTGACTACATTGATATTGACCATTAATATGCCTATTCTTATTTTAAAACGAAAAGTTCCATGTGAACTTTAGTTTTTAAATATTTGAATTTAGAACATGAAATCATGTATCGATAAGTAGAAAGAAGGATGCGTCACAAATGAAAGTACCAAATGAAAATATGACCAAATAAACGTAATTATTCACAAAAAGTATTAGAATCACTTCAAAATTGTCAAAAAAATACATAAATGTTTCCACTTCTACTAACTCCTAATAAAAAAATATATTTCAAATATATATCACAACTTGATGTAATCGCTCCATATAAGGTATTTTCATGAAACCATCTTATGTAGCTTTCTTTTGTTCAACATATAAGTATCATGCAGATAATTTCATCATGTAGACATATTAAGTTCGATTTGATGGGACCATATTAATATATACACATACATACAATCGACGATAATGTAGATTTTGACTCGTAGTTTATTTTAATGGATGATAATGGAATGGTAACCCCGCCTGTGCTAACAGTACACGCTGGCGGGACACCAGTGACGGACGAAAGGTGAGAATGAAAAGTCAGGCCAGTTAGCCCATCGTGATGAATACACCTGGAGAGCATGATGGTTTCCAGGGGGGCAACGAGGAGGACGACCTGACAGGATATTTTTTGACAGATTGCTCTCTATGGAAGTGGCAGCCTGTATCACTAACAATGCCTTCCCTCCGGTTTACATAGTTAACATTATTTCGGCACTCACCACTCCGGCGGGAGCTCACACAATTCTGAGAGCTTATTTTTGAGGTCCAAATATGTCCCCTCCGTGTTGACACGCACCCCGTACTTGACTGGTACCGAACCGTCTAACCGCATCACTACGAACGACCAACGACAAATATTGTCATTTTTTTTATGCTACTTCGAATGGCAAATAAGTTGACGGCCCACCTGATGGAAAGTGGTAACCGTCGCCTATAGACATGAGCAGTACCATGGACATAACAGAGTATACTGTTTCGCCCATGATACCCCCACTCGTTGCCATTCCTGAGGACTCAGGTGTTATTCCTCTGTATATTGTAAGTTTACACATCACTTGACCTTAACGTTGTAAATTTTATTTAAAAAAGAAACTGTTTACATTGAATAATTGTTATTGTGTACAAGTAGCGCTGCCAGTGAAACCTGGTACACCTGGATACAGTATATATTTGGGTACCGCGACACAGATGGCGAAAAGATATTTTTGTATTTTATCTTTGTGTTCTATTCTCATAATTATGTAACTTATTTGGTTGTATTGTAGTATTTTTATTGTAAATTTACGTGTCATAGAAGACTCAAATAAAGTGTTTATCTATCTATCCATCTATCTATGTACACATAAAATTGTCCTTCGAATCGGATTATTGATGGAATAATACACCCGTACTATCCATCAGTAATCCGGTTCGAAGGACCATTTTGTGTTATGGTTATACTGTGTCGCCCATTAAGTAAATAAATATATTGAAATTCTTCAAAATCTATAATAATAAGATCGAAAGAAGTTCGTACTCACCGCGCACCTCACACCGCAACGAGGACTCCATGGGCAGCGGTAGACTGAGCATATTGAAGGCGTCGAAGCGCACGGACTCGTGGCCGCAGGTGTCGCAGCGCACCTTGGACTTGAGCTGCCCGTAGAACAGGTCCGTCATGATAGACTGGTTGCGGGCTGTGTGGCTCGCCCACGCCTCCGCCGCCACCTCCTGCACCACATCGTGAACATTATATCACTATTGTAATAACATGGTAATGGTTGAGGTCCTCGTGCAGCGCGTCCAGCAGCCAGGCGAGCAGCTCCTGCGCGTCGTGCTGGTGCTGGTGGTGGTGGTGGTGGTGGTGGTGGTGGTACCTGGTCGGGGCGGCCGTCGGAGTCGCGGTGCGGCGGCGGCGGCGCGGGGCGCGGCGCGGCGCGGTTGAGGTCCTCGTGCAGCGCGTCCAGCAGCCAGGCGAGCAGCTCCTGCGCGTCGTGCTGGTGCTGGTGGTGGTGGTGGTGGTGGTGGTGGTGGTACCTGGTCGGGGCGGCCGTCGGAGTCGCGGTGCGGCGGCGGCGGCGCGGGGCGCGGCGCGGCGCGGTTGAGGTCCTCGTGCAGCGCGTCCAGCAGCCAGGCGAGCAGCTCCTGCGCGTCGTGCTGGTGCTGGTGGTGGTGGTGGTGGTGGTGGTGGTGGTGGTGGTACCTGGTCGGGGCGGCCGTCGGAGTCGCGGTGCGGCGGCGGCGGCGCGGGGGGAGGCGCGGCGCGGTTGAGGTCCTCGTGCAGCGCGTCCAGCAGCCAGGCGAGCAGCTCCTGCGCGTCGTGCTGGTGCTGGTGGTGGTGGTGGTGGTGGTGGTGGTGGTGGTGGTACCTGGTCGGGGCGGCCGTCGGAGTCGCGGTGCGGCGGCGGCGGCGCGGGGCGCGGCGCGGCGCGGTTGAGGTCCTCGTGCAGCGCGTCCAGCAGCCAGGCGAGCAGCTCCTGCGCGTCGTGCTGGTGCTGGTGGTGGTGGTGGTGGTGGTGGTGGTGGTGGTGGTACCTGGTCGGGGCGGCCGTCGGAGTCGCGGTGCGGCGGCGGCGGCGCGGGCCGCGGCGCGGCGAGGTTGTGGTCCTCGTGCAGCGCGTCCAGCAGCCAGGCGAGCAGCTCCTGCGCGTCGTGCTGGTGCTGGTGGTGGTGGTGGTGGTGGTGGTGGTGGTGGTGGTACTGGTCGGGGCGGCCGTCGGAGTCGCGGTGCGGCGGCGGCGGCGCGGGCGCGGCGCGGCGCGGTTGAGGTCCTCGTGCAGCGCGTCCAGCAGCCAGGCGAGCAGCTCCTGCGCGTCGTGCTGGTGCTGGTGGTGGTGGTGGTGGTGGTGGTGGTGGTGGTGGTACCTGGTCGGGGCGGCCGTCGGAGTCGCGGTGCGGCGGCGGCGGCGCGGGCGCGGCGCGGCGCGGTTGAGGTCCTCGTGCAGCGCGTCCAGCAGCCAGGCGAGCAGCTCCTGCGCGTCGTGCTGGTGCTGGTGGTGGTGGTGGTGGTGGTGGTGGTGGTGGTGGTACCTGGTCGGGGCGGCCGTCGGAGTCGCGGTGCGGCGGCGGCGGCGGGGGGCGCGGCGCGGCGCGGTTGAGGTCCTCGTGCAGCGCGTCCAGCAGCCAGGCGAGCAGCTCCTGCGCGTCGTGCTGGTGCTGGTGGTGGTGGTGGTGGTGGTGGTGGTGGTGGTGGTACCTGGTCGGGGCGGCCGTCGGAGTCGCGGTGCGGCGGCGGCGGCGCGGCGCGGCGCGGCGCGGTTGAGGTCCTCGTGCAGCGCGTCCAGCAGCCAGGCGAGCAGCTCCTGCGCGTCGTGCTGGTGCTGGTGGTGGTGGTGGTGGTGGTGGTGGTGGTGGTGGTACCTGGTCGGGGCGGCCGTCGGAGTCGCGGTGCGGCGGCGGCGGCGCGGGCGCGGCGCGGCGCGGTTGAGGTCCTCGTGCAGCGCGTCCAGCAGCCAGGCGAGCAGCTCCTGCGCGTCGTGCTGGTGCTGGTGGTGGTGGTGGTGGTGGTGGTGGTGGTACCTGGTCGGGGCGGCCGTCGGAGTCGCGGTGCGGCGGCGGCGGCGCGGGGCGCGGCGCGGCGCGGTTGAGGTCCTCGTGCAGCGCGTCCAGCAGCCAGGCGAGCAGCTCCTGCGCGTCGTGCTGGTGCTGGTGGTGGTGGTGGTGGTGGTGGTGGTGGTGGTGGTACCTGGTCGGGGCGGCCGTCGGAGTCGCGGTGCGGCGGCGGCGGCGCGGGGGCGGCGCGGCGCGGTTGAGGTCCTCGTGCAGCGCGTCCAGCAGCCAGGCGAGCAGCTCCTGCGCGTCGTGCTGGTGCTGGTGGTGGTGGTGGTGGTGGTGGTGGTGGTGGTGGTACCTGGTCGGGGCGGCCGTCGGAGTCGCGGTGCGGCGGCGGCGGCGCGGGCGCGGCGCGGCGCGGTTGAGGTCCTCGTGCAGCGCGTCCAGCAGCCAGGCGAGCAGCTCCTGCGCGTCGTGCTGGTGCTGGTGGTGGTGGTGGTGGTGGTGGTGGTCCTGGTTGGAGCAGGGCGTGGCCGGCGGCGTCGTCGCGGTGCGGCGGCGGCGGCGCGGGCGCGGCGCGGCGCGGTTGAGGTCCTCGTGCAGCGCGTCCAGCAGCCAGGCGAGCAGCTCCTGCGCGTCGTGCTGGTGCTGGTGGTGGTGGTGGTGGTGGTGGTGGTGGTACCTGGTCGGGGCGGCCGTCGGAGTCGCGGTGCGGCGGCGGCGGCGCGGGGCGCGGCGCGGCGCGGTTGAGGTCCTCGTGCAGCGCGTCCAGCAGCCAGGCGAGCAGCTCCTGCGCGTCGTGCTGGTGCTGGTGGTGGTGGTGGTGGTGGTGGTGGTGGTGGTACCTGGTCGGGGCGGCCGTCGGAGTCGCGGTGCGGCGGCGGCGGCGCGGGGCGCGGCGCGGCGCGGTTGAGGTCCTCGTGCAGCGCGTCCAGCAGCCAGGCGAGCAGCTCCTGCGCGTCGTGCTGGTGCTGGTGGTGGTGGTGGTGGTGGTGGTGGTGGTACCTGGTCGGGGCGGCCGTCGGAGTCGCGGTGCGGCGGCGGCGGCGCGGGGCGCGGCGCGGCGCGGTTGAGGTCCTCGTGCAGCGCGTCCAGCAGCCAGGCGAGCAGCTCCTGCGCGTCGTGCTGGTGCTGGTGGTGGTGGTGGTGGTGGTGGTGGTGGTGGTGGTACCTGGTCGGGGCGGCCGTCGGAGTCGCGGTGCGGCGGCGGCGGCGCGGGCGCGGCGCGGCGCGGTTGAGGTCCTCGTGCAGCGCGTCCAGCAGCCAGGCGAGCAGCTCCTGCGCGTCGTGCTGGTGCTGGTGGTGGTGGTGGTGGTGGTGGTGGTGGTGGTGGTACCTGGTCGGGGCGGCCGTCGGAGTCGCGGTGCGGCGGCGGCGGCGCGGGGCGCGGCGCGGCGCGGTTGAGGTCCTCGTGCAGCGCGTCCAGCAGCCCGGCGAGCAGCTCCTGCGCGTCGTGCTGGTGCTGGTGGTGGTGGTGGTGGTGGTGGTGGTGGTGGTACCTGGTCGGGGCGGCCGTCGGAGTCGCGGTGCGGCGGCGGCGGCGCGGGCGCGGCGCGGCGCGGTTGAGGTCCTCGTGCAGCGCGTCCAGCAGCCAGGCGAGCAGCTCCTGCGCGTCGTGCTGGTGCTGGTGGTGGTGGTGGTGGTGGTGGTGGTGGTGGTGGTACCTGGTCGGGGCGGCCGTCGGAGTCGCGGTGCGGCGGCGGCGGCGCGGGGCGCGGCGCGGCGCGGTTGAGGTCCTCGTGCAGCGCGTCCAGCAGCCAGGCGAGCAGCTCCTGCGCGTCGTGCTGGTGGTGGTGGTGGTACCTGGTCGGGGCGGCCGTCGGAGTCGCGGTGCGGCGGCGGCGGCGCGGGGCGCGGCGCGGCGCGGTTGAGGTCCTCGTGCAGCGCGTCCAGCAGCCAGGCGAGCAGCTCCTGCGCGTCGTGCTGGTGCTGGTGGTGGTGGTGGTGGTGGTGGTGGTGGTACCTGGTCGGGGCGGCCGTCGGAGTCGCGGTGGGCGGCGGCGCGGGCGCGGCGCGGCGCGGTTGAGGTGCAGCGCGTCCAGCAGCCAGGCGAGCAGCTCCTGCGCGTCGTGCTGGTGCTGGTGGTGGTGGTGGTGGTGGTGGTGGTGGTACCTGGTCGGGGCGGCCGTCGGAGTCGCGGTGCGGCGGCGGCGGCGCGGGGCGCGGCGCGGCGCGGTTGAGGTCCTCGTGCAGCGCGTCCAGCAGCCAGGCGAGCAGCTCCTGCGCGTCGTGCTGGTGCTGGTGGTGGTGGTGGTGGTGGTGGTGGTGGTGGTGGTACCTGGTCGGGGCGGCCGTCGGAGTCGCGGTGCGGCGGCGGCGGCGCGGGCGCGGCGCGGCGCGGTTGAGGTCCTCGTGCAGCGCGTCCAGCAGCCAGGCGAGCAGCTCCTGCGCGTCGTGCTGGTGCTGGTGGTGGTGGTGGTGGTGGTGGTGGTGGTGGTGGTACCTGGTCGGGGCGGCCGTCGGAGTCGCGGTGCGGCGGCGGCGGCGCGGGCGCGGCGCGGCGCGGTTGAGGTCCTCGTGCAGCGCGTCCAGCAGCCAGGCGAGCAGCTCCTGCGCGTCGTGCTGGTGCTGGTGGTGGTGGTGGTGGTGGTGGTGGTGGTGGTGGTACCTGGTCGGGGCGGCCGTCGGAGTCGCGGTGCGGCGGCGGCGGCGCGGGCGCGGCGCGGCGCGGTTGAGGTCCTCGTGCAGCGCGTCCAGCAGCCAGGCGAGCAGCTCCTGCGCGTCGTGCTGGTGCTGGTGGTGGTGGTGGTGGTGGTGGTGGTGGTGGTGGTACCTGGTCGGGGCGGCCGTCGGAGTCGCGGTGCGGCGGCGGCGGCGCGGGAGCGGGGAGGCGCGGTTGAGGTCCTCGTGCAGCGCGTCCAGCAGCCAGGCGAGCAGCTCCTGCGCGTCGTGCTGGTGCTGGTGGTGGTGGTGGTGGTGGTGGTGGTGGTGGTGGTACCTGGTCGGGGCGGCCGTCGGAGTCGCGGTGCGGCGGCGGCGGCGCGGGCGCGGCGCGGCGCGGTTGAGGTCCTCGTGCAGCGCGTCCAGCAGCCAGGCGAGCAGCTCCTGCGCGTCGTGCTGGTGCTGGTGGTGGTGGTGGTGGTGGTGGTGGTGGTGGTGGTACCTGGTCGGGGCGGCCGTCGGAGTCGCGGTGCGGCGGCGGCGGCGCGGGCGCGGCGCGGCGCGGTTGAGGTCCTCGTGCAGCGCGTCCAGCAGCCAGGCGAGCAGCTCCTGCGCGTCGTGCTGGTGCTGGTGGTGGTGGTGGTGGTGGTGGTGGTGGTGGTGGTACCTGGTCGGGGCGGCCGTCGGAGTCGCGGTGCGGCGGCGGCGGCGCGGGGCGCGGCGCGGCGCGGTTGAGGTCCTCGTGCAGCGCGTCCAGCAGCCAGGCGAGCAGCTCCTGCGCGTCGTGCTGGTGCTGGTGGTGGTGGTGGTGGTGGTGGTGGTGGTACCTGGTCGGGGCGGCCGTCGGAGTCGCGGTGCGGCGGCGGCGGCGCGGGGCGCGGCGCGGCGCGGTTGAGGTCCTCGTGCAGCGCGTCCAGCAGCCAGGCGAGCAGCTCCTGCGCGTCGTGCTGGTGCTGGTGGTGGTGGTGGTGGTGGTGGTGGTGGTGGTGGTACCTGGTCGGGGCGGCCGTCGGAGTCGCGGTGCGGCGGCGGCGGCGCGGGCGCGGCGCGGCGCGGTTGAGGTCCTCGTGCAGCGCGTCCAGCAGCCAGGCGAGCAGCTCCTGCGCGTCGTGCTGGTGCTGGTGGTGGTGGTGGTGGTGGTGGTGGTGGTGGTGGTACCTGGTCGGGGCGGCCGTCGGAGTCGCGGTGCGGCGGCGGCGGCGCGGGGCGCGGCGCGGCGCGGTTGAGGTCCTCGTGCAGCGCGTCCAGCAGCCAGGCGAGCAGCTCCTGCGCGTCGTGCTGGCCGCCGCCGCCGAGCGCGCGCGCGTGCCGCGCCACCACCCAGCGCACGCGCAGCGGCGCCACCGACCGCGCCGTGCTCGACCACACCTGCACACCGCACCCACCACTACATATCCCTGTACCGGAACTAGTTAACAAACATATTCACATGTACATGATGTCGTAACAGGCATCAAGGGAGTACGAGGGATGAGCAGCAACGTCCCTCTTGAAACATCTCCAAAACCTAACTGCGGTTGCCAATCCGCCTGCCAAATGTGGCAATCACTAGCAAAACCCTTCAAGGGAAAGAAAGCTTATGCTCAGTAGTAGACAGTTAAAGACAGATATGATGATGATGATATATACTAGTGACATCTGTATGTATATGATCATCAAATACCTATAAACGGAAAATATCATAAGAATTAATATGCTAATATACAGACCTCTTTGCAGAGTTCCCCATATCGTAACGCGAGCGCGCCCTTCGTTCCGAGCGGGTTAGTGGTATTTACTTCATACAGGTGCATGCCTGAGTTGAAGTAGCGCCGTAGCGGACCCGTATTCCATACCTGATAACATAAAAATAAGTCATCGAAACTTCAAGGCGGGGGATATGGATAAGAAATATAAAAAATTGCGCTGCTAGTACGTACAGCTTGCATGGCAGCATTCATGAAACAAGTGTTTCCGAGGTTGTGCAGACCAGTGGCGCCGGGTAGCTGTGCCGTCGACAACGTATCACGCCGCTCTTGTCGGTCCCACCCTGATGCCGCAGCCCTATCACCCACACAAATGACATTGTTAGATAGATAGATAGACAATTTATTTACATTACTTACAGCACACAAATTACAATAAAAAAAAAACATACACGTAATACACAGCAAAAGAGACAAAAGAATAAAAATAAAAAAAGCACAAATAAAAAATAAATACAAAAACAAAATACATAATCTAACAATCTCCTTTGTTAACATTCCTTCATGCGTGTGCCATAGTAACACAAAATGGTCACAGCTCAGTTTATTGCTTTGCCCTTAAAAGAGCAAAACACTGATATTCTGCTGTGGCCAAGAGTCAGTCGCGAAACTTTTCATAAAAAATTTACAATATAAATATATATATATATATATATATATATATATATATATATCGCCTGGCTCTTGTCGGTCCCACCCTGATGCCGCAGCCCTATCACCCACACAAATAACATTGTTTATAGATGCTTTATTTACATTACCTTAAAAAAAAAAACATACACGAATACACAGCAAAAGAGACAAAAGAATAAAAATAAAAAAAGCACAAATAAAAAATAAATACAAAACAAAATATAATCTGTTAACATTCCTTCATGTGTGCCATAGTAACACAAAATGGTCAGTCAAAACACTGATATTCGCGAAGAGTCAGTCGCGAAACTTTTCATAAAAAATTTACAATATATATATATATATATATATATATATATATATATATATATATATATATATATATATATATATATATATATATATATATATATATATATATATATATATATATATATATATATATATATATATATATATATATATATATATATATATATATATATATATATATAAATAAAGTAGTTTACATACGATAATTAAAGCATTCAAATCTCATAATTTAATTATCGTATGTAAACTACTACAGGGTATTCCAAAATTTTTATAGTGTCGGTAATCAGCACTATGAGCATTAGTTTAAGAAATTAATATCATAATTCGGGCCATGTTCTCTCATGGTGACATTAGGAAGGCTGCTATAAAATGTAGGTGCTCTTCAATAACATTCACATAAAGTCAACACGTCGATAATACAAAAGGATCTATAAACCTTCGGGATATAAGAGATCCGAGTTGCGGTACTGCAGTACTGGCACCTTCATAGTTCAAGAAACAAGTCTTTTGGTGGTCTGTGGGAGGCAGACGTAAAGTAATCTAGTACGTACCCGAGCGCGCCAATCTCCTCTGGCCAAGTGAGGTCTGGGTTGCGACGCTCGAGCAACAGAGCGGAGGAGGGCGGCAGGTTCAGGTCTTGCAGGGTGGGCCGCTCGTCGTCCAGTAGTACTGCGCCGCCACCGCCCACCGCCCACAGCCGCACGTCCTCGCGCGGCAGCCCCAACGCGCCGCACAGAAATGTCCACACCTGACGACATAGCACACCTCTCACTGTCACACTCACATGTACGACGTGACGTTGTGACGTTTACTCGACAGTACCAGAAAAGGTACTGTAGGTACCACTAAAATTGACACTACTGTATTAGAAAAGCATCCACATTGTTACGATGTAGTCTGATTAATAATAATACAATGATCCAGATGTGAGAACATGAAGTTTATTGACTGAAGACAGTGATTGAATACATTGTGTGTATACCTGTTTGACAGTGGCAAGGCGCGAGAAAGCAGCGCAGTAGGCGAGCTGCCGCTCAGGAGGCGCGGGGGCGGGGGCGAGCGGCACGCTGCTGTACATGGACACTCCCGCGCCGCCCAACGCACTCACCGGGCTTATTCCTGTACATTTGTTCTTTATTTATTCGACCATCGAGTACATAATAAAATCAGTCCTTAATTTTGGTGGAAAATGGGAAGCTGCGGTTAAAAGGTTAAATGAACATGTAGTACAGCTTTTTTTAGAGAAATTTCTTTTGATTAAAGTATGAAATTGTTAGGAATTCAACATTTAAACTTTTAAATATGTTGTTTAAATAAATAATTATGTAAGCAATATATTTTTAGGTTATAACAGTAGGTTAAGTGTAATTACAATTTTTTACTCACTCTGTGTGTTTGTGACATGTCGTAATATTTTCAATTGTAGAGGGTACAGTTCTAATTCAACGTCCGAGTTAGGCGGCCTTATCACCTGAAATAAATTTTACTTTAATTATTAATTAAATAAAAAAAAAAAAACATACATTGGCAAATTCATAATTTACTGGTTTAAGTGTACTAATCCTTGAATGTATATATTTTTTTATACTTATTAACACCACTAACAAGATTACAATGCAGCATAAGTATATATTTTTAATATTACATATTGACGGGCAACCACTAAAACCCCCTAACTGACATTTATAAAATAGTTGTTTTTCATGTTACAAAGAGAAACAGTTGTTGCAGTTGGTTGTGGAGATGCAGGGCTGACCTGGCGTGGCTGGTCGAGCCATCGGCCGGCCGGAGGACCGTCGAGGCTATCCGTCCACTTCTTAAGAAGTGGATGGATAGGCGGCGAAGGCCGCTGACCTTCAGGATGACACAGATACTGTCCGGGCATGGGTGCTTTGGGCGATATCTGTGTCATATCGCGCGCAGGGAGCCGACGGAGGAGTGCCATGCCTGTGGAGCGGACCAGGACACGGCGGAGCATACGCTGGAGGAGTGCCCAGCGTATGCCGATGAGCGTCGTGACTTGTCCGCGGTAGTGGGGACCGATCTCTCGCTGCCCGCCGTAGTCCGGCGGATGGTGAGCAGTGAGAGATCGTGGGAAGCAATGCTCGTCTTCTGCGATGCCGTCATGTCGCAGAAGGAGGCGGCGGAAAGGGAGCGGGAGAGTGCCACTCTCGCACCGTCAATCCGCCGCAGACGAGTCAGACGCAGAAGAAGGGGCGTGCCCAGTTCCGCCCCTCCTCCTTCCCCACTGGGGCCGGGGTGATACCTGTGGGAAGGTATTGTCCCAATGGTCCTGGGGGATGTGCTTATATACCGGCGCATCCCCCGAGTGGTAGGGTGAGCACGCCATTCACCCTATCTTGAGAGAGGAGACCTGCTCTTACCATCAAGGGGCGGGTCGCTGCCGTCGGAGATGTGGTGAGTGCGAAAGCGAACCCATGTCTCCGACATATGGCACTATTTGGGCATGTGTGTGTTGGTTTGCCCTTGCCTTGGGTAGTTCGAATTTAAGTTTACTGGATTGGCAGTAAATAACGAATTGTTGTTGTAATTATGATTTTAATATTGAAACTATATAAATTTACAATATTTGGAATGTATATATATATATGAAAATGAAGAGGTAACGGTATATGAAAGGCAATTCAATTGTAACGAATGACGTGAATGTGGCTGCTGATTAATGGGTCGTCGCAATTTGCTTCACACTTCACGCTCCTTTCAGCAACCATAGATTATGCAGTAACATGGGCCCCGCCTTGGAAGCAGCAGGTTCCAAAAGATTAAATAGATGCTGCGGTATCAGCTTCTACGGGTAATGGACAGATCTTCGAAAAGGCTCTTCGTGTAGTTCCAGATGAAGTAAGAAGATCTGCTACTCTCGATATACCATCGGTCCCGGGATAAATACGTATTATCCTGCCTAACTTCCATTGCAGTGGAGGCAGGTTATCATCTTTAATGAGAACGAGTTTATTGAGTTCAACCTCGCTCTGGTTAGTCTTCCATTTAGATCTTGATTGTAATTCCGAGACGTATTCTTTTGCCCATCGTCTCCAAAAGTGCTGTCTCATCTGCTCAATCACGTCGTAGCGCAGCAAGCGGTGAGTTGGCTTGTCAGTTACGTCTCTAGTGGCCGGCGCTGTCAAAGGTCGGCCGATGAGGAAGTGAGCGGGAGTGAGGGCTTGAAGGTCATTGGGGTCTGTCGAGAGAGGAGTTAAAGGACGGGAGTTGAGGATGGCTTCAATTTGTGCCAATACCGTACTGAGTTCTTCAAACGTAAGATTAGAGTTTCCGACTACTCGACGAAGGTGGTGTTTACATAATTTCACTCCTAATTCCCAACAACCGCCGAAGTGAGGAGCGTATGGAGGAATGAAGCTGAATTTAATATTATTATTTGATGAAAAATCTTTAATTTCCTTACTCTTATCATAAATGGATGAATACAATTCTTTTTCAGCCCCAACAAAATTTCGACCGTTGTCAGACATGATTTCCGCAGGTTTACCCCGGCGAGATATAAATCGCTTTAATGCAAGGATATAATCATTAGTGGAAAGACTAGTGACTAGTTCTAAATGTATGGAACGTGTACACAAACAAGTAAATAAACAAATATATCCCTTACTAAGAGTAGCTCCTCTGGTCCGGCGATTCAATATCATCACCGGCCCAGCATAATCTACACCACTGCGCATAAATGGAAATCCAGGCTCTAGGCGTTCCGCAGGTAAATCACCCATTAACGGCTGAAAAGTTCTTCCCTTCATACGCGTGCACGTGACACAGTCATGTACTGTTTTCCTAGCCAGGTTTCGTCCTCCTAGAGGCCACCAGGATTCACGTATACAAGCTAATAAGAGTTGTGGTCCTCCATGTAGCAATTGTATATGTTCATATCTAAACAATAATATTGTTAATCGATGTTTACTACACAATAAGACTGGGTGTTTTTTATCATTATCGAAGTGGGGCGAGTTCCGTAACCTTCCTCCAACGCGGATTAATTTGTTTTCGTCCACGAAAATATTTAAACCAATCAATCTTTTTGCCTTTACTACTGATCGCTTAACTAAATCACTATACTCCTCAGAAAAGGATTGTGATTGCGCGAGCTGTGTCAGCATAATAACTGACGCATTTAATTCATTGGTAGATAAAGGACCAACAGTACGATGTAGCTTACTCACTCGAATATTATTTACAAAACGCAATACATATGCACCGGCGCGTCGTAATCGATTGAATGACGAGAATCTGTTAAAATCAACCAGTTCGTTGTTATAATTTAATTCATTACATACCATGCTAATATGTTGAGTCTTAACTTCGGGTAATTGAGTTTGATCTATAAAAATATTATTTGAATAAGTTAAATTACGGTCTCGCAAAAATAATGGCCCGTGCCACCATAATTCATTATGTTTAAGTTTATTTAATGTAAGGCCTCTCGACACGATATCAGCAGGGTTGCTCTTGCCGTCTATATGCAACCACACTGCATCACCCGTAAGTTCATTAATCTGTGATACACGGTTTTGAACAAATGTCTTCAAATTATAAGGTGACATTCTAAGCCAACCGATAACAATAGTGGAGTCGGTCCAGAAAATTATTCTTGTGAATGTTAATCTAAGTGAATTGATTATTTTATGATACAACCGCGCACCTAGTAATGCTCCGCACAACTCAAGTCGCGGGATAGTGCACACAGTTTTTACCGGTGCCACTTTGCTTTTCGCACATAACAATTTAATAGTTATAGGCAAATCACTGTCACTATTATAAGTACGTATGTACGCACAAGCGCCATATGCGTCTTGTGAGGCGTCGGTAAAAATGTGTAGTTCACAGGTTTGTTTATCTTCACTCATGACATAGCGAGGTATACGTAATTCGGGCAGATGTGATAACGTATTTAAAAATTGATTCCATTGACATTCTATGTCGATGGGAACCACATCGTCCCAATCGATTTTGAGCAACCATAATTTTTGTAACATTATCTTTGCAATAATTATAGTCGGAGATAAAAGTCCTAAAGGATCATATATTTGCGAAATGATTGACATAATAGTGCGTTTTGTGATGATAGGCTTATTTTCCAAACTCGTAGTAAAATGGAGTTCATCTTTGTCGACTTGCCAACCTAGTCCTAGTGTTTTATTTTGACAATATTCTCCAATTGCTAATTCTTTAGATGTTTTTATGTTTACGTCATGGTTGAATGTCCATTTTCGTAACGGAAAGCAACCTGATTTTAATACAGTCGAAACATTTTCGCATATATTAGACAAAATTACGGGATCATCATCACCAGTGATTAAATCATCGACAAAAAAGTCTTCGATGATGACCCTAGCAATAACATCATCAGTAGTTTCATATGCCAGTTGACGCAGGCAACGCATGCTCAGGTAGGGAGCCGAAGCCGTCCCGTACGTTACCGTATTTAATTGATATACAACTAATTCGTCCGTAGAATTTTCCCGCCACAATATAAGTTGCAGTGTACGCTGATCGTTTTGAATCAAAATTTGACGATACATTTTTTCCACGTCTGCGCACGCTACGTACTTATAACTACGAAAACGAAGTAAAATGGAGAAGATGTCGTTTTGTAATGGTGGCCCTATTCGCTGTATGTCGTTTAACGACTTATTTGTCGTAGTTGTGGCACTAGCATCAAACACTACACGTAATTTTGTAGTGATGCTATGTTCCCTAAACACCCCATGATGAGGAAGAAAATAACAGGGTTGAGTGTACTCTTTAATTGGAGTCATGTGATTTAAGTTAATGTATTCGCGCATAAAATTAACGTACATCTCTTTATATTTAGGTGACTTGTTTAACTTGCGCTCTAATGAAAGAAAACGTGACTTGGCTTTTTCATATGAATCACCAAGCGCGTCCGCCGATTCCTTTAATGGGATTCGAACTGCAAATCTGCCATTGCTGTCTCGTTTTGTCGTGTTTATAAAGGACTCCTCACACTGACGTTCGTCTTCAGTGAGAAGATTCTTCGATCCACTGACTTCTTCCAGTTCCCAGAACTTACGCAGTTGTATATCGAGTGAGGACATTTGAGCAAAATTACACTGAATTACTTTATTACTGTGCAAGTTATTATTAGGAATTAATAAAGGACCTGAAAGTAACCATCCCAACTTAGACTTCTGTAGGTATGGTCCGCTAGGTAATCGAAGTCGACCTTCGTCCAACAAGTCCCAAAATACGTCTGCACCTATCAGCAGGTCAATCGCTGACGGTGAATTAAAAGTAGGATCCGCGAGACAGATATCGTCTGGAATACTTAGTGTGGCACTGTCAATATGAGTGGACGGCAAGCTAGACGTGATGCATGGCAATATGAAACATTTTATTCGTGTATTATATTCGTTCGTTTTCGATCGCATATTAATATCGCATAATTTATTTGATTGTGAGACTGTATGTCCCACGCCAGATATGTGTATAGTGGACTGTATAATCGATACGTTTAAAAATTCGCATAGCTTTGATGATACAAAACAATTTTGACTACCACTGTCTAACAACGCTCGGGCTGTGTGATATTTGTTGTTATTATCCATTACCTCAACAAGAGCAGTGGACAATAACACTTGTGACAGTGATATGGAAGGTTCCTTGTCATTTGATGACTGAGCATGATTTATAAAGTTCATTGCGTGTGATACTACTGAGACCTGCCCTTTATCAGCTGACTGTGAATTATGCGCACTGGTCACTGGTGAAACAGGCGTAGACGCAATGTAGACACTTTCATTATGTAATAAACTATTATGTTTTTTCTGACATTGCTTGCACGGACCGAAATTACACTCTGAAACCGAATGTCCCGCACGTAAACAATTACAACATAATTTTTTCTCATTAATAAATTTAATTCTCTCTTGAACTGGTAAGTTAAGAAATTTAATACAAGCGTATAACGAATGCATATTACCGCACAACGCACACTGACGCATCGGCCTGTCGGATGTACTGTATTTACGCGTAGACACGAAACTATGCGATTGCTGAACTTGTGGATTGACATTTGTCTGCCGTCTACTAATATTATTATTATTATCGAATGACTTATTAGAATTAGACAAATGACTTTGTGGTTTGCGTGAATTGCTGTTATGAACCATGTCCAACATGTCGGCACGATTTCGTAAAAAATTTAATAAATCCTCTAATTTTATTTTACCCTTTTGCAAATTAGAAAATAAGGTACCTTTATGGTTTTCCCATTCTCGTTCTGTGGAGGTATCTAATTTAGACACCATTATATAAATGATTAATGTATCCCACGAGTCTGTCGGTTCGTCTAGTGATTTAAGAGCCTGAAGGTTACGTAACACAACATCGATTAACTTTCTAATTTGCATTGGTGACTCTTTATTAATAGACTGTGCAGTAAATAAAGATTTAACGTGATTGTGGATCAATAAACGGTTATTATGATACCTACTCTCTAATAATTCCCATGCGTGGGTATAATTAACAGCGGTGAATTCCAATGCACTAATAACTTCAAGTGCAGAACCCCTGAGCGAGGATTTCAAATAATGAAATTTTTGAATCGCATCTAAATCACTACGTTTGTGAATCATAGATAAATAAGAATGTTTGTACTCGAGCCAATGGTCGTAAGAACCGTCAAATACGGCTAGCCTGATCTCAGGCAGCTTAACTGAGACTGAATTATTACTAATGGACGCGTGTGAACATTTAGAACTCTCACTTTTGTCTGTGTCCACTTTAATAAAACACTTAGCAGCAGACATCATATCAAAATATAAATTTTCAAAGTATTCTCTGTATTCCAATTGTTTAGGTAATTCTGAACTGCTACATAATTGTTCGATTTGCTCTTGTATTTCATTAAAAGAATTGAATAAATTTAACACTGATTCTATACGCAATAGTAGTTCTGCTTGTTGTTTTTCAGACAAAGTAACATTACTTAATTTATTAAGGTACTTCTCAAATAAAGTTAATCGTCCCTTTAAAGTACCTCGCTGTTTTTTAAGCTCACTTAAACTAGACGAATTGTCTGATTCAGCTTCAGTAAAATAGTCCTCGTTACTCATTTTAGCGAATTATTAGAAGTTAGAAAATTACTTACGGTTTTTTACGAGCAGGTAGATATGTAGGTAGAACGAAAAATGAACAAATTTAATAAACTCGTATTAAAGCACAGTACGATAATAGCACAAATGAAAATAAAGATGGGAGAAAAAGGAACGACCAACCTGACAGGTATTTCAGCTGATCCAGGATACGCAGATGAGGCTCGAAGTTGACCATATATTTGGGCATGTGTGTGTTGGTTTGCCCTTGCCTTGGGTAGTTCGAATTTAAGTTTACTGGATTGGCAGTAAATAACGAATTGTTGTTGTAATTATGATTTTAATATTGAAACTATATAAATTTACAATATTTGGAATGTATATATATATATATGAAAATGAAGAGGTAACGGTATATGAAAGGCAATTCAATTGTAACGAATGACGTGAATGTGGCTGCTGATTAATGGGTCGTCGCAATTTGCTTCACACTTCACGCTCCTTTCAGCAACCATAGATTATGCAGTAACAGGCACCTCGAGGGTATATCGTCTGGTTTTTGGTGGGTACACCCCCACCTTACGGGGGGACTCCCACAGTACCCATAAACCTCCCACAAGGTGTATGGGTCTGCATAAAGCAGACGTTAAAAAAAAAAAAAAAAAAAAAAAAAAAAAAAAAAAAGGGCTGACCTGGCGCGGCAGCGGGTCGGGCGCGCCGTACCAGAGCGCGAGCGCGCGCCACAGCGCGTCGGGCAGCAGCTCGAAGTGGATGCCGCGCGCCAGCGGCACGTCGCGCCGCAGCAGCCCGCCCTCGCCCGTGAGCGAGCGCACGCGCGGCGCGGCGGCGGCCAGCAGGCGGCGGTTGCGCACGGGCCCCGGGTGCGGCGCGCGGCTGCGCACCACGCCGCTGCTCACGCCGCTGCTGCTGGCGCTGCCCAGCGACAGCGACTCCGCCTCGCCCGCGCCGCGCCACGCCAGCGAGCCCGTCGACTCTGCAACCGACGCTTGCCGACACAACCGCGCACCTTACCACCCGTTAACGGAACGGGACGCTTCATGCTATACTTTTACGCCCTTGAACCGCTTGCTTATTCCATCGGTGTACTTTCAAGTGATAAAAAACGATCCCCTATATAGTGAGAAGAGCCGATCTAAAAAAAATTTTTGGTCCTTCGAACCGGATACAACCCAGGCAACTTAAGACTTGATGTGTATAGTAACAGTGACCACTTAAAATATTGACTATATGCTTGTTTACCATTATCCAGTTCAATAAAAAAAAAAAAAAACATACAAACAATTTTTCATCATTTACACTTTGTATATATATTTTGTTAAATTTTATCCCTTGTCATTGTAAGTTATGATTGTACATAACAATAATATTTCTGACAATGAATATTTTTCTATTCTACTGTAACGAACGATTCAATCATTGGTGATGCTCACCAGTAGAGTTGCTGGTGAAGCTCTCGTCGCAGACGATAGCCTCGTCGATATGCCGCGGTGCAGCGCGGCAGCAGCCATCAGCAGCGGCTGCGGTATAGGCTAGCCAGCTACTCCACCACTCGGCGCCGACCAGGTACCAGAACTGCCCCACTGAGTAACCGCGGCACACCTCGCGCCGCAACCACCCCAGCACTGGAGCGACGCACATAGTTACCAGTCAATGCCTCAAATGTTCTTTTGTGGAGTAAATATGGGTTAGTTAGTAATGGGGTCTAAAACCCTCATTCCATAAAACCCCCTAAAGCCAACACACCCTATTGGAAGGAAAGGGATGTTAGTAATGGGATCAAATTGCCTCATTGTTAGCAATATACCTTATCAAGTCGACCTCCTCGCGGTTCTCCCTGGAAACCATCGCGATTGATTTATTACTGAATTCGTCACGATGGGCTAACTGACCTGCTTCATCTTCACTTATTATCTCTCACTAGTGCCCCGCCAGTGTATACCGTTCGCGCAGGCGGGGTAACCATTTCATTATCATCCATTAAAAAAAAATACCCTATCAGGTCGACGTCTCCATGGTTCTCCCTGGAAACCCACGTGGTTAATTCATGTCGAACTAGTCACGATGGGCCAACTGACCTGCTTTCATCCCCACCTAGTATACCTCATTGGTGCCCCACCACGGTATACCGATAGCGCAAGCGAGATTACAATTCGGTTTTACCCATAAAAAAGACATTTGACCTCCTACCAGATGTGTTTCTATCGAGATAAAAACTATCTCTCGAGTTACAGAAACTAATACATACATATTACTTGCTATTATATAAGAATAACATAAGTCAAAGAGTTATATCAATGATTCATATCAGGTATTTGAACAAAGCTAGATAGATTTACAGCGCGAGACGCAAACATATTTCTTTGTAAATTCCATTCCTGAGGACTCGGGTGTTATTCCTCTGTACCCAGTAAATTCACTGCCATATCCCACCCTTCAAACCGAAACACAGTCATGCAAACACAACTGCGTCACAGTAGAAACACGAATGGAACAGAGGTGTCCAAGCAAACGACTTTTGTAAAAAAATCTCCCTCTGGGTTGACTGGAAGAGATCTATTTAGAGCAGGGCTTTCCAAACTCATTTTGTTTACTGCCCACTTTGAGAATTATTTTTTAGCGTCTACATTTTTTCACCTACTTAAAAACCACTATTACTTCAAAATCAACAAATCACCCCCCCCCCCCCAAGCCTCTACACAATACCAACATTTTTTTCTGGATCTCTTACCGCCCCCCTTTAGGCCTGCAGTGCCCACAATGGGGCGTTATCGCCCACTTTGGGAAAGGCCGATTTAAAGATAACTTCACCTCTGCTTACATTCGTTTTTACTATTGTATGTTTAGTGCAATAAATAATATGTATTATGTAAAGAATGTGACAATGTGATACGATAACAAGGTCGTGTGGATGTGGCATCCTTACCTTACACAGTTTACAATGAGGTAATATTTTACTCATAACGCCCGCTTCACACTTGATAAGGCTTTGTTGACAATACAAGAATAGATTTTGCACTACAAAAACTGCCACAATTGTGACAGAATCCGTTTTTATTTTAAAAAGTAAACTAGTGTAATATTTATTTAGTTTACAAATTGTTTTTTCTAGATAAATGTACCGCCTTTTGATCTCTCTGTTTAGCGTAACGGTTGACTGGTAGAGAATGTCATCAGGTGTTAAGTCCGCCCTGTACACATATTTTTTAATGTGTCAATCAAAAGTATAAATAAATAAAATAAGACTGATCTGAAAGGATATACTTACATATTAGTCCTGAGAATGATTTTTTGTTGTTGAGAGAGAGAGAGAGAGAGAGAGAGAGAGAGAGAGAGAGAGAGAGAGAGAGAGAGAGAGAGAGAGAGAGAGAGAGAGAGAGAGAGAGAGAGAGAGAGAGAGAGAGAGAGAGAGAGAGAGAGAGAGAGAGAGAGAGAGAGAGAGAGAGAGAGAGAGAGAGAGAGAGAGAGAGAGATAGATAGAGAGAGAGAGAGAGAGAGAGAGAGAGAGAGAGAGAGAGAGAGAGAGAGAGAGAGAGAGAGAGAGAGAGAGAGAGAGAGAGAGAGAGAGAGAGAGAGAGAGAGAGAGAGAGAGAGAGAGAGAGAGAGAGAGAGAGAGAGAGAGAGAGAGAGAGAAGAGAGAGAGAGAGAGAGAGAGATAGAGAGAGAGAGAGAGAGAGAGAGAGAGAGATAGATAGATAGATAGAGAGAGAGAGAGAGAGAGAGAGAGAGAGAGAGAGATAGAGAAAAGAGATAATTGCCAATCCATAAACGAGAATCGGATAATGGAGTCTTACAATATATGTTTAATCGTGTGAAACCATATAGTACTGACCGATGTCCCTCTCCTGGTGCCTGCACTGCGGCCGCAGCCCGAGCACTATGTGGCACACCTCGAACAGCAGCTCGAGGAACGGGCTCACCAGCGCTTCCACGCTCTCCACGCTCCAGATTAGGAAGTCCTGCAGCGCCAGCGCCGTGTCGTTCGCGATCAACCCCTCGTCCTCTTTACACTCCTCGTCCTGCTAACGTTAACTAACTGTACCCCGCGGCTTCGCTCGTGATCATTTCGTTAAGACGAATTAGCCCTTTACCTTCTTCAAGAGGGGAAGGGGATAGTTAGTAATGTAATAAAAATGTCGCAATGCTAGCATTATACCCTAGCAGATCGACCTGCACGCGGTTCCCCCTGGAAACCAACGTGGTTTATTTATTGTTGAATTCGTCACGATGAACCAAGTGACTTGATTCCATCCTCACCTATCATCCCTCACTAGTGTCCTAGTGAATTGAAAATCTCCTTCTGTTTTAAAGTTTTTTTTTTTTTATACAACTTAAAATGGCAAAGAAGCTGACGGCCCACCTGACGGAAAGTGGTAACCGTCGCCTATAGACATGAGCAGTACCATGGACATAACAGAGTATACTGTTTCACCCATGATCCCCCCATGCGTTGCCATTCCTGAGGACTCAGGTGTTATTCCTCTGTACCCAGTAAATTCACGCCAAACAATTTCCAACAAAGTTGGTTGAAAATATAGGCTTGCGTGAGCAGTTTATTTCTATTTTATTAATAATGATAATAATATTGTATAATAGTAACAATGAATGATTAAAAATTAGTGTCCGACCCAACTTTCGGTTTCGGTTTCAGTTTCGGCTAATTTCGGCCTTAGTTTCGGTTTCGGCCAAAAATTTGCCGAAAATTTCGGCGGCGCCGAAACTTTGTGTGTGTGTTTGTGTTGTGTGTGTGTGTCTAACTGAAAGTTGTTTTTTTTAAGTTTACTTCCAAGAGTAGGTCATAATTTTAACATGTTTTTACATATAAATATGTATGATATAATTGTTACATACTTTAATTAGTGTTTATTATTACCTATCTGTGTTTTTGTGTAAAAAATACACTAGATTTCAGTATAGAAGAGAAATTTTAAATATGTTTATAGTAAGTTTCGGTTTCAGCCGAAACTGAGACTAAGGCCGAAAGTTCGGTTTCGGTTTCGGCTGTAAAACCTGTTTCGGTCGGACACTATTACAAATGTATTGTGACTTTTTAAATATTATAAGTATTTGCTAATAGATTCACTTAGCGCGATGACAGTTGGAATTTTGTATTTGGAGAAGTAATTCGTACGGTCGCGCCAAATATTTACTCAAATCATGCGACTACTAACCACAACAGAATAACTGCCTCCCATGTTTGAAATTGTTGCCAGTAGTTGCCACGTTTGGCTGACAGATTAGCAACCGCAGTTAGGTATGGGGAAGGGATTGTTAGTGATGCGGATTACCACTTCCATTGCTAACAATATACCAATGGTCCACCTGGAACCCATCGTGTTGAATTCCAAGTATATTCATCACGATGGGCTAACTGACCTGCTTTTTTCATTCTCACGTATCATCCCCTCACTGGTACCGTATACTGTTAGCGCATACGGGGTTACCATTCTATTATTATTAAAAAGAAACCCACAGTTAGGTTTTAAAGATGTTTTAAGAGGGACGCTGCTGCCCATGCCTCGCTCTTTCTTACTCACCTCTTACGACACCCACGGGAAAGGAAACTGGTTTATTCTATGCCGGGACCACACGGAAGGAAAGTATTATATTTCTTTTCTATTTAACTGTAATTATTGTGAAAAATATTACTAACTATAATATTCTAGGTTAAAAAATAGGTTTAATCTCCAAACAGCTCAATCCGATAGGATTCGAATATGCCTCGTTCAGCAATGTACCTTCCCAATTTTACATTTAAAAATATCTTTAAATAATAAACTGACCTCTTTAAAAACAATGATCTCCTCCCCCTCAGCACTAGGCCCGAGTTGGAACACCGGTTTCCTGCCATCCTTGGGGACGCTCACCAGCTTATCCCGCAGGTTGAGCAGTATCACCTCAGGATCGAACCCCTTCTCTGTGTCCGAGTCTTCCCCGTCGGACGGGGTCGACGCCCTCGAGCCCTGGTTCTTCAGGGACTCGTTGGCGACCGTGCACAGGATGCCCACCATGTCGATCAGCTCCTTCTTATTCAATACCCCGTCTCGGTCCAAATCGAATATTTTGAAGCAAACTATAATAGAAAATTTATCTTTTTTATGACACTTAGTATAGGAAAGAAGTTGATGGCTCACCATGTTTTTTATACCACTGAGGTGGCATACGGCCCACTTGATGGAAAGTGGTTACCGTAGCCTATGAACGCTTGCAGTACCAGGCGTATTTCGCCCGCGTTGCCGACCCTGAAGAAACCTCTTTACCCCCCTTTTGAAGAGTCCCATGCTGTAGTCTCTTGTAGTTCCTCGGCAGGGAGCTCATTCCATAATCTGAGTGTTCGTGGGAGAAAACATCTCTGAAACCGTGTTGTACGCGACCATTTAGGCTATAGGGTATGAGGGTAAACTCCCTGTCGATGACGAGTCGTATGAATTTACAGATAATGGGATTAACAGAATAAAAATTACAAAATATGGAGACAAAACATCTTAATCCTCACAACTGGCAACGTATAAGGAGTACCATGTCTGTCAAGCAAGAAAACAAAGAAACGAGTAGCAAACACGCTAACGGACTACCTGATAGAAAGTGGTAACCGTCACCTATAGACATGGACAGCACCATGGACATTACAAAATATGCTATGACGCCCATGGCACCCTTTATGTGTTGTTATTCCCGAGGACTGTGATGTTACACCTCCGCACCTTGTAATTTCACTGCTACATCTCTTCAAACCGAAACATAGTCATGCAAGAACAAATGCTTCACAGCAAAAACAAGAGTGAGATAGAAATTTGTTAGTTTTTCTGAAATTTAAATGTCACTGACTGTACTGAAGTCTATCTTGGTTCTATTATTACGAGGTACCCACTCTTACTTCTTAGTCTTTTTCTTCTTCTAGTCTTTACCAGAGGGAAATTTTGTATAAAAGTCGTTTGCTTGAGCAGCTGTCTCATTCGTGTTTCAATCATGAAGCAGTTGTGTTGGCATGGCTGTGTTTCGATTTGAAAGGTGGGATATTGTAGTGAATTTACAGGGCACAGAGAATAACACTTGAGTCCTCAAGAATGACAACGCATGGGGGTATCATGTGCGAAACAGTATACTCTGTTATGTCCGCGGTACTGCTCATGTCTATAGACGACTGTTACCATTTTACATCAGGTGGGCCGTCAGCTTGTTTGCCATTCTAAGTTGCATAAAAAAAAATCACAGGATACGAACACACAATTCTTTAGTCTTCAAGATTAGGTGTATTGTGTGGAATCAATGCTCATGTCAACTTGTTTGACATGCATTCCAACTCAGTTTTTTTTTTATCAATTACCGCCAATCATTATTTTAGAATAAAACAAATATTTAAAAGTGAAATATATATATGTGTATTTATTTAGATATCTAACGTTACACAACTCTGCGAGTTTACTCTTTCTATCTTATCAGGTTCTCGCCATTTTTTCTAAAGGAAAATTATAAACTTTAAACATACGATTTGGGTCAGTGACGGTGTAAAATGTAACTAAGGCGACACAGCTCACACTAGGCTGACGGAAATCATCAATACATATAATAATAAAATCGTAATTATAAATATAGCAAAAATTTCTTGATATTTTTCAAAACAAAAAAAAAAAAATTTTTATTAACATTACGATGTTAGGATAGTTAAAAGATCTTTGAAAAACGATCAATTATTACGTAACATTAATAATATTGATTGCTGTGTGCTTCTATGTATTAATGTGCTTCTATATGTATGTAATCAATCAATACATATAATAAATTCGTAACTGGTCGCTGTCTGTACATGGAAGATATGTAAGAAAAACTATTATGGGGTGGCTCTATGAATAACGCAATAGAACCTAAAACAATTATTTTAAGAATTTGTTGTCTGTTTGTCTGTACATTTGTGCACGCTAATCTCAGAAACGGTTTAACCGTTTTGAATGCAGTTTCCACTAATGCGTTACAGTTTGCTCTACTTAAAATTCAATATTTGTTTCATTTCAATTGGATCATAAATAAAAACGTTATATCAATCTAAAGGATCACATATAAAATGCTATAAAATAACCGATCAGTTGAATTGGCTGAAACTTTATGATGGTATTAGGTACGTAATTATCATTTAAGTATATTTTACAATATAAGACCGGATTCATGAAGAGTTCCAATGGAAATGATATACGGGGACTACATAGAAGCGGGCAACGCCGCGGGAAACGGCTAGTAATAAAATAAATATTTTAAAGTCGAATTGAATTGTAAATAAAAACTGTCTCTGGTTGTTGGGCTGATGTTCGCACTGAATCATTTTGATGCCATTCAATTATGTACTTTGGGAGTTTAGTAATAAAGTACAATAATACAGTCATGTAGTTTGGATGTTTAATCTATTATTTATAAGCTCATACTTAATTTACTTTGTACATTTCAAGTATTTCCGTTTAAAATTTCCAATCTATTGTTTAAACAACAAGTACATTTACCAGAGGGAGACTTTGTACAAAAGTCGTTTGCTTGGCCACCTCTGTCTCATTCGTGTTTCAACCGTGAAGCAGTTGTGTTTGTATGGCTGTGTTTCGGTTTGAAAGGTGGTATATGGCAGTGAATTTACAAGGTACAGAAGAATAACACACGAGTCTTTACGAATGACAACGCATGGGGGGTATCATGGGTAAAACAGTATACTCTGTTATGTCCATGGTATTGCTCATATCTATAGGCGACGATTACCACTTTCCATCAGGTAGGTCATCAGCTCGTTTGCCATTCTAAGTTACATAAAAAAAAATACATGTATTGTTTGCCCAATTTTTTTTTTAAGTAAAGGTAGGATGTTTCGTTCGATGGATGACTTCACGCAAACACTACTAAATCGATTTGAATGAAATTTGGTACACGAATAGTTTATATAACTAACTTTGAACATGTATACTGATGAATGATGATGAATGTATGAGACATGCGAGCAGAGCCGAGTGATACAACAAGTAATGATCGTCAATGGTCGTCAATAATCGTCACTTATCATCACATATCGTCAATGATCGTTAACGATCATAAATTTCGCGGCTCACTTCCAAAAGTGAAAGTGGCCAACCACAACAGAATATCAGTGTTTTGCTCTTTTTACGGCAAAGCAAAAAGCTGAGTTGTGGCCATTCTTTTCTACTGTGGCACACGCGTGAAGAAAAAAAAAATGTTACTAACTTTATGCATTCTGATTTAGTTTTTGATTTTTTTTTTATTTTTTGTAGGTACATTACAACTGCGTTTAACCCTCTATTAAAACTACCAGAGGGGGACTTTGTACAAAAGTCGTTGGCTTGGGTACCTCTGTCCCATTCGTGTTTTAACCGTAAAGCAGTTGTGTTTGCATGGCTGTGTTTCGGTTTGAACGGTGGAATAAAACAATGAATTTACAGGGTACACAGGAATAACACCTGAGTCCTCAGGAATGGCAACGCATGGGGGGTATCATGAGTGATACAGTATACTCTGTTATGTCCATGGTACTGCTCATGCCTATAGGTGACGGTTACCACTTTCCATCAGGTGGGCCGTCAGCTTATTTGCCATTTTAAGTAGCATAAAAAAAATTCAAAAATAAAAAAAAATACAAATCTACTCGCACTATCTTTACCATCAGACGGGCTGTATGCTTGTTTGCCACCTTTGTAGTATAAAAAAAAAACTATCTCAACTTTGCAAATACGTTGTAGATAATTCCCATTGTTATGCTTTAACGCCCACAATTCCACTCTTAACGTAATCAATTGTTAATGACGCTCAATGAAAAAACGTAACGGATGACGATGATGGCCGTTGAAAAAAAAAATCAGCGCGTACGAGTCGCATTCAAATACTTAGGGTTCCGTAGTAGATTATAAATTCACAACGTGACAAAAGCGACAAAATTAATACTGACTAGTAATCTAGTATTCTTATTTCAAAATAAATAAATAAATAAAACGAATAAATCGACACCAATGAATGGTGAAATGACTCCAAGGCATAATATTTGAATTAAGAACGCGTAATTGTGTGTTCTAAATTTAAATTCAAAAATTTATCTGTGAGAAATACTGGTGGTGATAAAATAGATAAATAATTCATTTACATTATTTGGAACATACAAATAATACACACATAAGCAGTAAAAAGAGATAAAATACTGAAAAACAAAAAAAGAGCAACAAAAAAAAAAAAAACAAAATATATAAAACAACAATTTCCTTCTTTCGTGCGTTATTGCTTTGCTCTCAAATGAGCAAAAATAATAATAATAAAAAAAAAGAAATATACAATTAAAATACATTGCGTGTGTCCATTACATTGGCTACCACTTAATATTTTATTTAAAAAAAAATAAATACATAGGTAAGTGTTATTATCTGTGATTCGAACTCACGACCTCAATAACTTCACCACGTAGGACGTCAAAATGTGTGACGAATGACACGTAGGTGCAACAAAGTGCGTAACATAAAATAATCCATCTCTTAGTCATCTTTGTTTGTTTAATACTCTACAGTGGTTTTGTGTAGCTCTTTATATGCATTTAAGGATATAGAAGTAAATATGAGAAATCACAAAAAAATCCGACTGTTTTTTTTTTAAAGCCAAATTTATTTTATAGTATAACTTAGAATGGCAAACGAGCTAACGGCCCACCTGATGGAAAATAGCAACTGTTGCTTATAGACATGTGTAGTGCCATGGCCATAACAGAGTGTACTGTTTCGCCCATGATACCTACCGTGCGTTGCCATTCCTGAGGACTCAGGTGTTATTCCTCTGTACCTTGTAAATTCACTGCCCTTCAAACCGAAACGTAGCGGGGGGGACAGGGATTGTTAGTAATGGAGACTGAGAACCCTATTGCTAGCAATATACCCAACCATGTCGACCTCCTCGCGGTTCTCCCTGGAAACTATCATGGTTAATTCCTGATGAATTCATCATGACGGGCTGACTGGCCTATTTTCATTCTCATCTATCACCCTTCACTGGTGCTCCGCCAGCGTATCCCGTTAGCGCAGGCGGAGTTACCATACCATTTTCACCCATCAAAAAAAAAACCGAAACGTAGCCATACAAACACAACTGCTTCACGCTAGAAACGCGAATGGGACAAAGGCACCTAAGCAAACGACTTTTGTGCAAAGTCTCCCTTAAATAATTCTCGAATACTTTTGACAGTTTACGACCGCCATATTTGAACTATTGTTACCGCCATTGTTGCAGGCGCGTTGTCTTGCTCTGTCCCTATTAACTAATGCAATGCAAATGCACAAATTGCGCCAATTACCCAGTTAAACAGTGACAACCGACCAATTGTTTGCTGCTTCAACGGCATTTTAAGAACTCAATTTCTAAGGAGTTGAGAAAATTACATTTGTCTGTCTGTCGCAGTCGCATTTGTAGGTTTTCTGTATATCTATTAGGTCTATTAGGAAATATACAGTTCAATCTAAACACTAATCTAATATATAAAATTCTCGTGTCACGGTGTTTGTTACCAAACTCCTCCGAAACGGCTTTACCGATTTTCATGAAATTTTGTGTGCATTTTGGGTATGCTTGAGCATCGGCCAACATCTATTTTTAATACCTCTCAATGATAAGGGTGACCCACCCCTAAAATTTTTTTTTTTTATTTTTTTGACAATTTTTTTTATTTTTATTTTAATATGATTTAGCATTGAAAAATACATACAACTTTAAATTTTCATCGTTTTACGATCAACCCCTGTATTTTAATCGTTTTTTTTTTATATTTCGCAATAAGTGCAACGTTTACGCTGAAACTCTAACAATTTCATAAAAATATTGTGATGGACGGAACCCTAAAAGAACGAGACTAGACTCACACTTCACTATATTTTTACATTCTTGTTCAATAACATTAGGTCAGACAAACTCATTTGCATGAATACCACTTTTTTATACCACTAAGGTGGCAAATACGCATACGGACCATCTGATGGCATTACGCGCGTTGCTGACCCTGAAGAAATCTTTTTACCCCCATTTTGAAGAATATCATGCTATAGTCTCTTGGGAAAACCTCGGCAGGGAACTCGCTCATTCCATAACCTGAGTGTTCGTGGGAGAAAATATAATACTACATTCCTAGTTATGTTTCTCCCACCAAGAAGCTGTGCTAGCACAGATAGGGTTGCCACCTTTTTTGCAATTAAAGTACATTGGTTATTATAGGTAAGAAAAAAAAAGTACATAGCATTAAAATAAAGTATTATTTATTTTTCTTTATTATTAAGTTTAAAAACATACTTTTTATTGCTTTTTGCAGTTTGTATCAAATTTGTATCTCTGCTAAACAATTACACAGCATCTTTACAGTCTATATTTAAATTAAAGTAAATAAGTAATTAATTTTTTATCAAATTCAGAGACGTCTCGCCATTTGCTATTTATTCATCACAGAAAAAAAACTCTCTCTGTGAGTGCTGACACGGCGGGAATTAACAATAAATCGATATAATTCGTTTAATAAATAAATACTTAAAACTAAACATTGCAAAATCTCAAAGAAATCAAATCGTGCGCAATAAAGTATTTTCGTGAACTTTATTATTCTCATAAAGTATAGAGTACAATTACCTGGAATAACGTACAATACTTTATTTTAAAGTACGGGTGGCAACCCTAAGCACAGATGTCTTCAGTACACAGATGTAGTGAAATTATAAGATGCAAGGGTAATTATATACTTTAAGCTTTAAACACAGCAACGCTTGAGGAATACTATAAAGTCGATTGCTTGGGTACCTCTGTCCCATTCGTGTTTCAACCGTGAAGCAGTTGTGTTTGCATGGCTGTGTTTCGGTTTGAAGGGTGGGATATGGCGTGAACTGGGTACAGAAGAATAACACTCGAGTCCTCAGGAATGAAAACGCATAGGGGGTATCATGGGCGAAACAGTATACTCTGTTATGTCCATGGTACTGCTCATGTCTATAGGCGACGGTTACCATTTTCCATCAGGTGGGCCGTCAGCTTGTTTGCCATTCTAAGTTGTATAAAAAAAAAACGTTACAGTGTTCTTCAGATCTATAGACTCCACTACCCATTACTACTCCGACATATGGCACCTCGAGGGTATATCGTCTGGTTTTTGGTGGGTACACCCCCGCGCAACGGGGGGATTCCCACAGTATCCACTTTTTTTAATGGGTGATAATGGAATGGTAACCCCACCTGAGCTATCGGTATACACCGGCGGGGTACCAATGAAGGATGATAGGTGAGAATGAAGTAGGTCAGTTAGCCCATCGTGACGAATTCAACAAGAATTGTTCAGGTTGGTTTCCAGGGGGAACCACGTGGAGGTCGACCTGTTAGGACATATTGCTAGCAATGGGGCTATCAAACTCCATTGCTAACAATTCCTCCCCCCCCCCCAATAGGTCAGTTAGACCTCATTACCAATAATCCCTTTCTCCCCCACAGTACCCATTAACCTCCCACAAGGTGTATGGGTGTGCATAAAGCATTTTCAAGACGTTAAAAAAAAATAAAGGTGGCACTTCTATTCCAAATATGAATTTCGACTCACATTTTAACCGCTCCGTTCTCGGTCCCCTGCACGCAGCGCTGAGTCCGCAGCACAGCTCCTTGAAGTCCACATGGCCGTCCCTGTTCTCGTCGAAGGCGAGGAAGGTGCCGGCGACGGCCGCCCGGGGCAACGGCGGCGACAGCAGCGGCCCGAGGCTCTCCGCGTCCAACTGGCCCGTGGGAGCGGCGTTGCGGAGGGACCAGAAGCATTTCTCCAACTCTATTATATCCTGTGAATAAGTTACGCCAATAAATCACATGTGATGTGACATTTAGTGGTTTTTTTTTTTTGGTGTTTTAATTAGAGATAGGTAATATACAATATCTATGAATGAATGAATGAATGAATGAGTATACTTTATTTGCATTATACAATATAGGAAATAAACAAGACAATTTATAAACACAACGATACAATTGTATAAGTACAGTAAGGCGGTCTTATTGCCGAGAGCAATCTTTTCAAGACAACCTTAAGGTAATGGACTAATTGTTGTACAAGTAGGTATAATAGTGCTTTATAATTAAAAAAACATCTTTTGCAAATTAAAAATATATAAAAATTATATACATATATACATACATATATATATATACACATACATATATACACAATCACATACATATCAATCAAACAAAATTATATAATCCCATGCATACCATATATGTTAAATATGTACCCAATACTAGGATACATATTAATAATTATAGGCACAAGGAAAACAAACTATCATAAAATAAATACTTATATAAATAAATACATAAATAATGCCAATTTTTTAAATGAAGAAAAAATCAGATAGAGAAAAGATAATCTTTCACTCGTCGTTTGAAAGCATCAATGGATTTCGTACTTTTAATAACAACAGGCAATGAATTCCATAACCTAATGCTAGAAACAGTGAAGGAATTGTGATAAAATTTATTGGAATGAGAAGGTGTCACAAGGGAAAGGTTACATATTACCCGCCTTTTAAGCATTTTTAAAATCGATTTTGTGTCTATCCATTACAAACAAACAAATATATCCTCTCTATAAGTATAGATAATATAAATTTCTCGTACGTGTATTTATTTGTACGTAAACTTTCATTTTTTTTTCCATTCCATTAATAACAGATAACAAATTAACAATTGTTTTGTCTGATCGCGTCACTAGTCAATAGAAAAATGGCGGTAAAATTCGCATCAACATTGTTCACGGTGGCAAGGTCGCAAGGTGTAGGTCGAGTTCAAGGACGTTATTAACAATAGAACAACGTTTGATTGCAAATACTAATTGGCAACGTTTCACGAGTTGTGTCAAGTTTTTTTTTTAGGCATCTAGACGATAGGCGATACCATAGATAGAGAATTTTTTTTGATGGGTGAAAATGGAACAGTAACCCCGCCTGCGCTAACGGGATACGCTGGCGGAGCACCAGTGAAGGGTAATAGATGACAATGAAAACAGGCCAGTTAGCCCATCATGATGAATTCATCAGGAATTAACCGTGATAGTTTCCAGGGAGGACCGCGAGGAGCTCGACCTGGTTGGGTATATTGTTAGCAATGGGATTCTCAGTTTCCATTACTAACAATCCCTTTCCCCCCCAACACGCAGATAGAGAATCTTATCATCTTCCTACCCTTATCCCAATTATTATTTGGGGTTGGCGTAATGTTTTTTTTTTTTATCCATATTACAAAAAGATTTGGCTTATAGTTTTACGACCGGCCGTCTGCCTGTAGCCAACCCTCTTTGGAAACCCTTTCTCTCCAACATGTGACTGTGAAAAAGGCTCATGATTAGTTGAGGACTAATGACCTAAGCATTTACGTTGGGGGGAAAGGGGTTGTTAGTAATGGAGACTAAGAATCCCATTGCTAGCAATATACCCAACCAGGTCGACCTCCTCGCGGTTCTCCTTGGAAACTATTATGGTTAATTCCTGATGAATTCATCATGATGGGCTAACTGGTCTGTTTTCATTATCATCTATCACCCTTCACTGGTGCTCCGCCAGCGTATCCCGTTAGCGCAGATGGGGTTACCATACTATTTTCACTCATCAAAAAAAATCGAAACTGGTGTCAATTTATACAAATTTATAGTAACACTACAACTGCATTATCCAATTCCATGACCTTCGCGGTCGTGGACACCCGATCTTCTTCCGATATGGGATCAGTAACCACGTGTTTAGTGTACATATAAATAGATAGATAGATACTCTTTATTGTTTCCTCCAAAACATTACAATAGTAAACTTATTATAAATATAAACATATAAATTACATATATAAAAATATAAACTACTGTGCTACTATGGTTGACTGGGAGAGAATGCTTTTAGCATTAAGTCCGCCATGTACACATATTTGTACTAATGAATAAATAAATAAATAAATTAAAATATTATATAAATATAAAAACAGCTATGTAAACATTACATATATTTACTACTAACAATCCAACCCGACTTAGGGGGGAAGGGATTGTTAGTAATGCGAACAGTCCCATTGCTAGCAATATACCCTATCAGGTCGACCTCCACGTGGTTCCCCCTGGAAACCATCGTGCTAAATTCAAAGTGTATTTATCACGATGGGCTAACTTCTTTTTTATACAACTTAGAATGGCAAACAAACTGACTTTTTAAACCGACACACAACCATGCAAACACAACTGCTTCACAGTTGAAACACAAATGGGACAGAGGTACCCAAGCAAACGACTTATGTACAAAGTCTTCCTCTGGTATGTGGACTGTATGTTAATTTTATAACCAATATACCATAAATAGCTACAACAGTTACCATTCCATTTTCACCTATTAAAATACTGGCGTAACAACACAAAGTAGGACAAACAAAACAACAGACAAACCACGCTGTATACATATTGTAACAAAGAGCAATGTTACGCAAAACAACGAGTTACATTGACTATTACAATATTTTACAATGTCACGTGTATGATTCAATAAATTTCCATTATTAAACAAACCGCTTATTTACAACTAGCTGTTGCCCGCGACTTCGTCCGCGTTTTCGTAAAATACGTTGCCTATGTCCTTCTTTACGGTTCAGTGGTTTTGATGTAACAGACACATTTCCCTTCACCGCTCTGCTCCTATTGATCGTAGCGTGATGAAAAGTATACTATAACCTGCCCAGGAGTATGGAGAATAATTGTACCAAGTTTCGTTAAAATCCGTCGAGTAGTTTTTGTTTCTATAACGAACATACAGACAGACAAACAGACCGACAAAAATTTTACTGATTGCATTTTTGGCATCAGTATCGATCACTAATCACCGCCTGATAGTTATTTTGTAAATATATTTCATGTACAGAATTGACCTCTCTACAGATTTATTATAAGTATAGATTTACAGTGGCACCCTGCACTTTGGTTATATTTTGTTAAGAGAGGGACTGGCTGAAAACCAGCGCTGTGCAGCTGTTCACATTGCGCTTGGACACTCACAGCATCAGCTGAGCTGGTTCCTTTTGCCTAGTACGGGACACTTCATGTATATGTATTTTCTATATTTTATATTGTAATTGTGTGTTTACTGGCAATAAATGTTTTCTATTCTATTCTACTTATTACAGTGACTCGAATTTACAGGGTACAGAAGAATAACACCTGAGTCCTCAGGAATGGCAACGCATGGGGGGTATCATGGGCGAAACAGTATACTCTGTTATGTCCATGGTACTGCTCATGTCTATAGGCGACGGTTACCACATTCCATCAGGTGGGCCGTTAGCTTGTTTGCTATTCTAAGTTGTATAAAAGAAAAACAAAAGATCGAATCCTCATTTCTAGTGCGCGAATTATTGCATTTCGGGAGCGTACATATGTATAATCATCATCATCATCTCACCCATTATCCGTCCACTGCTGGACATAGGCCTCTCCCATAAACTGACATAAGGAACGGTCCTGAGCCACTTGCATACACTGGCTCAGCTGCAATGCATTAGTCTGCATTACTAAGAATCCCCCCTCCCCCCCCATGTGGACTACTTATTATGCAGATCACGCGAAACAAGTTTCGGTTATAGGCCAGTTAATAAATAAATAAAAAAACGTCATAAGAAATCAATACATCGATATTTACCTAAGAACAAGGAATTACATAGAAAAACTGTAAATTATATGATTGTCTCTGTTCTTCTTATGTAAATGTAATTAGTAAAAAGAGGACAAAAGATACACCATCAGTTGCTATTTTTGTCAATCCATAGCAGACTAGTGTATAGAAAATGTTTGATGTGTCAATTATTTGTCAATGACAAATATTACATTACTAGATTATATATTCGACAGAGTTTATGTAGAAAGTATGTGAGCGGGTTGTATCTGAATTTGATAGGGTTATACGGCCGTATAACATTTTCTATACACTAGCCTGCTATGAATTGACAATTTTATCACTCCTTCTATGTAATTCCTTGTTCTTAGATATTTGCTCTTAGATATATATTCTACCAGAGGGAGACTTTGTACAAAAGTCGATTGCTTAGGTACCTCTGTCCCATTCGTGTTTCAACCGTGAAGCAGTTGTGTTTGCATGGCTGTGTTTAGGTTTGAAGGGTGGGATATGGCGTGAATTTACTGAGTACAGAGGAATAACACCTGAGTCCTCAGGAATGGCAACGCATGGGGGGTATCATAGACGAAACAGTATACTCTGTTATGTCCATGGTACTGCTCATGTCTATAGGCGACGGTTACCACTTTCCATCAGGTGGGCCGTCAGCTTGTTTGCCATTCTGAGTTGTATTAAAAAAAATACATTCAATGGTAGGCAAGATCGATATTGGGGGCTGATTTTCTGAGCTGGCAGTACTAAGATGACATAGATTGTAAAGGCAGCCCTTGTAATGTAACAGGGCGTTGAACTCGACCGCTTATCTATGCACAAAGTGGATTACCGTAGATAATGATTGTAACGGCCACAATCGATGCTTCCATTTAATATAATGGCCTATCGATAAATAAACTCTTTGAATTATAACATAAACATATTGATCGATTCAAATGCTACACGGCTTAGTAGACATGTTCGGTTTCACAACGTAAAATTGGGTGGAATCACTTTTTTAATCGGATATGTTATTTTTCGAAAATATTAATTTGTGATTGGAACTCAACCGCAATGCAAATTTCCATATTTATACGTAGTTCTTATCTTAACATTTTTTGTTCAGTTTTGGAAATATGATAGAAAATGAT